ATCTTACCGTAGTTGTGTGTTCGGATGCACCTTCTTTACGTCACTGATATCACACTTTACTCTCTCGTACTGCAGATGCCTCACTCACAATGCAGGCTCTCGTGGATCCCATAATACATTTTCTACACATAAATGTAACTCCTAACTGAAGCATTGTAGGCTTACATCTCATTTACAACATGTACGAAATTGTAAATGGTCCTTTTTTAAGGCCAATTAAAAAATTTGACTTAAAAACTGTCACAAAACGATAGCATCCCCTAAAATAACGAAAATGGCTTATGAACAGGAATTCAAACCATTCTTCTTACAATTACCGTAAGAACATTCGTCGATATATAGCAATAAAAATCTTAATAATTTAAGTAGTTTTTCAATTCAACAGCCTTATTAGGTAGCAATAAACTGGTTTTAAACACAATTTCTTTCGTGAACGTTATAAGGGCTAGGATTTTCTTAAATCAATGTTATTATTCTTGATAATATATTTAAAAGAAAATATAACCTTGTAGTACTTAATAAATTGGTTTACCTTATGGTTGCCATATTCTTGAACAAAATCTTGTAGTACTATTTCTATATTCTAAATTCTTATCTAATAGACTGCAACAACCAGCTTCTTGCTTTCGAATTTGTTTAGTTTAAAATTACTTAGTAATTTTGTTTGGATATGATTAACTTTAAGATATATGTAGGTTTTATCCTTTAAAAATGTTGATATTACTTATATTAAATAACTCCTTGATCGTGTGTGTTATTAAATTACCTAAAAATAAAAAAATACGTCACATATTTACACTTACTGTTTACTCACAAGGCGGTAAATACATATAAATGATTGTAGGTGGTGATCGATTTCGATTGGACACTCCAATCATTAATGAGATTAGCCTATTGAATCTGTTGTTGATTTGAGTTTCCAATTGAAATCGATTACCACTTATCTTTTATATTTATTTACCTTCTTGGGAGTGAAAAGTTTAACTGTAAATACATATTATAATTCTGAACAAAATGATACAACTGCCATGTCTGTAAAAATTACGGTTCAAAAGTTATTGTAAATTATGTCATTTTCCCATAAAAACCCCATAAAATAACAAAAAATAAGATTTTTGTAAAAAAGCTGGTTTTGATTTAACTCAATTTGATTTAACTCGATGTTAGGTTCCTAAAAATGTTAAAGGTTTTTTTTATTTGGAATTTTAATGGGGATTTTTCCCATAAAACTCTATAAAATAACGGAAAATAAGAAATTAATATGTTATGGTCCTTATAATAAAAAAGGCACAACACCCCATTGCTGTAAAAATTACTTTTCAAAAGTTATTGCAAATTTTGTGATTTTAAACTATAAAATATCATATTTACTCTTACCGCTTACTCATAATAAAGGTTGTTGACGAGCTTATGAAAGAAAGTATGTGTATGAATGCTGATACCATTTATTTAGGTATTAGTTTTGAATACAATTTTAGATACAAGAGATGGTAAAAGTGCTAAGTCAAACTATTTGCACAGAGAAATTGACTATCCAGCCGATGCTACAATATTGTATACTGTAGCTACTGTAATATTCACAATAAAAAAACTTAAAGCTTCAATCATATTTTTTAATGTATGTGTAAAAGTTTCATTTCTTTTAAATTTCAATGCACCATCCTTACCGTAACCGTAATTCGATTGGTATCAGATTTAAAATGTTTATAGCGTAATCATTTAGTTTGTGACCAGGTTTTTATTAACTGGTTCCACCCGAACAATACGTGGCTATGTGAAGCGTTTCCGATGTTTCATGTTTGTGAGGATGTATTGCTACAGACAATGTTGTATTTAAACCTCCAGTTGCAGTGTCGAAGCTATCAGTTCCTCACGACGGTTCAACAATGTACAGTGCTTGGGTAAGTAATGAGTTGCTCGACTTTGATAGTTAATTCACACAGTTTTTAACGTGTTCAATGTGTGCTTTTATTGCTATGCATTAAAATGTATTATCAAGGACAATACTGTATTCTATAGAACATCATTCTATAGTAAAATTGTTAGTAAAATATAGTAAAACAGTTACAATATCTAACCAAGTTTTAGTGTTAGTTAATTATTTTCCTTTATACAATGATGAAAAACAAGAAACTATACCTATGGAAAATAATTGTTGAAGAAGAAATGTACGATAAGATAGTTTCCCGTGTGTTAAGACATGTATAATGAAAGCTGTAGCATGGTTTAACTTATACAGTTCTCGTGTAATATTTGTTATAGAAATTCGTGTATTTGAATTTACTTAAACTATTTTTGTCATTTAAATTCAATCAGTATCTCAAGGGTTATATCACTTTGATACATTCTAGTTCTTCACATTCTAGTTCTTCAGCGGCTTACACAGAATCCTTCAAATGATTGATCTTTTTTCAGGTTTTGTATGTGTTGTAACATTTTTTTAAATGTAACAATTGTTTATGAGATTTATATGTTTACTGTACATTAAACGGGGGAGTCCTAAGGTACTACCTAATACCTACAAAACTGCATTATTTATAATCGTGTTCACAGGGTCATGTTCTTGTTGCTGTCCTGTACACCAACAGCGTGTACTGCAGCTACTACCACGGACCCACCGCCAATCCTGTCGTCCTTTACAACGGCTACCTGGCAGACACCCATGAGGTAGCAGCAGCCAAGAACGCTCATCTCGCCGCTCTAGCCAAGGAATCTCAATACGGAGGAGACTACAAATACAGTCATGGCCAGGAATACAGTGGCTTATATGACAGCCATCATGGAGACATCAGGTACCACGGTCCCACCGCCATCCCACACGTCCTGCATGACGGACACATCGCAGACACTCACGAGGTGGCCGCTGCTAAGGCTGAGCATTTCGCCGCCGTAGCCAAGGCCAAGGCTCACGGAGGCTACGGTGACCACTACAGTGGCAGATACGCCTCAGACTACGGTGCCGACCATGGACACTCATATCATGTGGCGCCTTACCATGGACCTCTCGCCAAGCCCGTGGTGCTCAAGTCCGGATACCTGGCAGACACTCATGAGGTCGCTGCTGCCAAGCACCATCACCTAGACGCGCTGTATAAGGCCAACCATCGCGGTCACTATGAACACAGCTATTAATCTAACCCTTTATCTCTGCCTGTAAATATACCGATATAAAATTTTAATTTACATTTATTTTAACTGTCCATTTTTATTCATACACCAAACCGTTAGAATTCGCTCTGATTAACTTACACACCAGAACTTGTTCTTTACATAATACTGAGTCACGGTTTGGTGAGTAATACATCTTACTAATTATTAACATTACTAGTGAATGAATGACATTTGAAGCTAGTCAAAAACACAGAACATTAACTACGCAAACTTTTATTTAAAAAGAAACAAATATATTTTCTTTTACTAGCTATTGACAGTGTTTAGTATCCACTATTCATCCAACGAAAATTAGTTACCTTGACAATACGAAAAAATATTATCACACAACAAATTCAACATTAGTCATAATTTTGATTTGAGGTCAAAAGGTTGTTTTGAAAACATTGTTGTTGTTTAATAATAGCAATCCAATAATTTAAAATAACCTTTCCCCAGAATACCATATATATTTGTATATTTAGCTATACTACCATCATGTTAGTCTAATTGGCGTTCAGAACATTCCTTATGTAAATTAAACATCATTAGTGTTTTTGCAAGTACTTCGTCTAGGTATGGGAACGAAGGAAAATTTGAAGAAAATCAAACAATGGAATTTGGATAGATCTGCCTTCAATCCGGTAGAGGCACTGGCATTCCATTACTGTGTGTATGACTGCTGTCTGATTTTCACGGGGAGCGGGAAATAAGGAAAATATTTATCAGTAAATTTTTAGAAAACTATATTTTTCCAGAAACCCAATTAAATATTTACGATTCCCAAACTTTTGAAATGTATTATAAAAATATAATCTCATACTAGTTTAAAAAATGTTACACTCAGGCCTAATTAAGGCGTCAATAAAAAATAGATGCACGAATTACCTAATTGAGTATCTATTTTACATAGGCATATTGAGGTCTTTTATTTATAATTGTAAGTCCTTACAATAAATTCGTACAATGACAGAATGAAGTCTGTATCCACTAGTTATCCTGAGCGTAAATCATTTACTAAATAAGTTATTAGATATAACCAACCCATAAGCAATTGATTAAGTTAAATGATCTAGTTAATATTCATTTAAGTGGTTGTGAAACTGTTTTGAACGTGTATGTTTTCAAAAGAACTTAGTAGGTATTAAAAACAAAAAAAATAAAAATAAATAGACATAATTTAAATGGTTTTATTTATAGATTGTTTCTTAAATCGTTATATAAGAGTTTTGGTAATTTAAAGTAGTTCAATTTAACTAATTAAGATAACATAGTAAAATCCTCTCAACCAGATGGTATTTTTACCTAAATATTAAGAAACGTTTACTACCAACCACTTTTTTTAAATGCTTTCAATTTTTGTAACTGGACACGTGCAATGATATATTCGTATTTTATTCAAACTTCTATCTTTAGTAAATTGTTTTCCCTCTGTAATACAATATTTTGTTCGTGTTTACCTTTTATTTTACGATTAGTTAACAAATTCATGAACAAATCCGGTCTGCTCAGTTGCGGAATGATTATTAAATAATGTATGCATTTGACCCTTTAAGACAGTATGTATAAAGATCCAAACACGTATTTGTATACACAAAAGGTTTAATTTAATAAATAATAAAACAAAAAATCAACAAAACATAGTAAAACATGCAGATAAATTTGTTTGTGAACAATTTTTCAATAAGTATGGTTAATAACTTGACCTATTGCATAGGCTCCGAAAGTTTATAAATTAAGGCTCACATGACATAGTAGCGCTTTGGTGTTACGCGTTGTGGCGCTTTAAGAATGGTTTCATGACGTTTGGAGGCGCTTGAGCTGTAGGGTGGCTGGGGGGTGGTGGCGAACAGGGCGACACCTAGCGACAGGAGGCTCACATGACATAGTAGTAGTTGCTGGGTAGCTGGTCTGGTGGTTGTGGCACTTGTGGAGTGATTTCATGACGTTTGGAGGCACCTAGAGCTGTAGGGTGTACTGTAGCGGCGAACAGGGCGACACCTAGCGACAGGAGGCTTACATGACATAGTAGTAGTTGCTGGGTAGCTGGTCTGGTGGTTGTGGCACTTGTGGAGTGATTTCATGACGTTTGGAGGCACCTAGAGCTGTAGGGTGTACTGTAGCGGCGAACAGGGCGACACCTAGCGACAGGAGGCTCACATGACATAGTAGTAGTTGCTGGGTAGCTGGTCTGGTGGTTGTGGCACTTGTGGAGTGATTTCTTGACGTTTGGAGGCACCTAGAGCTGTAGGGTGTACTGTAGCGGCGAACAGGGCGACACCTAGCGACAGCAGGCTTATCAAGAATGCCTTGCCGGACACTAGCGCCATCACGGCTAGCGCAGGAAGCATCGTCATCTTAAGCATCATCAGGAAAGGTAACAGCAGTTGAAGTTTCTTGGAAAGTTTTCTTCTCCCTAAGTACAAATATAAAAATTTGTTTAGATATTTCAATTGTTTAAGCAAGAATGTTACGAGACCCCTTATACCGATATGTCATTGCCCATCATGCCAGTTAGCAGATTCAAAAAATATACCAATAAAAGAAAACACATTGCCCAATGGCATGGTGTAAAGTTGACCAAAATCGTGTTTACTGTTAAGCATTTGTACTTGCTTGCCTAATTTCTGATATGGATCGACTGGCATGATGATTAACTAAAATGTAGACCAAATAAAACTAGTTTTTAAGTAATGTAAAATTAAGTAGTTTATTGAGTTTTTATTGAATGTCAGCTAGCTTGTTGATCAAGTGGCTTGTTAGTCAAATGACGGACGCCCAGTATTTTAACTACAGTAATGGATGGCTAAAAAAGAAATCATAAACTATCATAAATATTATATAGTCAGTAAAGTATTTCTATATATGAGTAACACTTCTGAAACGTATAAACTTTAAGATCATTCACAAATACATTTATACAAATTATAATTTCTACTATATGTTTTGTAACGTAAAAAACACTATACCTATCACATATGAAAACTCATTCATAAAATACTATTTAATAAATTATAACTCTCTAAATATACATAATATGGACAAATTTCTAAAACGAAACCACAAAAATTGATTTGATTGTGTGGCTTGTAAGTATAAGTGAGATATGTGTGTATGCCTGTAAACATTTATATTGAAAAGGGGAAGTTGGACATAATCAATTTAAATGGATAGTAGTTAAATCAGAATGCAAAATAGAAATTATGATTTTAACAACGATGTGTAGGGAGTCATTTGAATTTACAGTATTGCTGTCATAAAAGTAACGTTAATTAATTTTGCACTGCAACTTTGTTGTGTACCGATATGTTTTTGATAGTAGCAAATCTTATCATTTTAAGTAGTGTAAAAGGTTAATGGTTTTAAAAACAAATCTTACGAATCAATGATTTAATTATACATACACATTCTATGAACCTATACATAAGGGCAAGAATTCTTTATTTTCTATTATAACCGAACTTCTTATATAAAATACATATACTATAAACCGCATCTAATTGGAATGACAAAAACTACTAAAATATTCAGTGATGTGGGGACTTTCGTTGGAGTTATTGATCATTAAAATTGGACAGTTAGAGGTGAGCTACGAACCCCAACACAGTTTTAAATATAACTTTTTAGAAATCTGTTTTTATTAAAAAAGATTTATATCTCGGTTTGTTAACACATCACCAAGATCTTTCTGGTCTCAAGTTACACGGTAAATGTTTGGCTTTAAATTCATTTTTTGACATTTTTTTGACTTGTCGTTTCCCAAAATTACTGTAACTGAAAAGAAACGCAAACAAAATTGGATCTCAGAAGACCTGAAAAGTGAAAAAAGAACTACTACAATGAATTGGCCTTAAAACTTCATAGGAACGAAAATTCTGCCTTGAAATACGAGTTGAAACAAAACAAACTGAAATATAGGGTAAAATTAGTCAGAGCTAAAACAAATTATTTTGAAAATAAAATACAATAATCAGCCAATATACAAAAAACAGTATGGCAGATTATAAATTCTGAAGTTGGGAAAGGAAAGGAAACAAGAAATAAAAATATTACTTTGAAAGAAGGAAATTGTAGCTTAAGTGATCCTAGAACTATTGCTAACATGTTCAACAAATATTTTATGTTGATCAGGATGTCAGAGGCAACCAATGTGAGAGCAAGATTGAAAATCAAAGTCTTGTTGAAAATGAGCAATGTATTAAAGGAGGTTTTTATTTTAAATTTATTGATGCAGGGGAGATGGAAAAAGTAATTAACTATTTAAAAAACAAAAATTATGTTGGACACGATGATGTCCCTATTAAAGTTATAAAGCATGCCAAAACATGCCTGAGCTATATTTTAAGTCATTTAAATAAATTCATCTTTTGTATCAGGAATTTTTCCAAATCAATTAAAAAAATCTAAAATAATACCACAATAATAAAAAAGACGACCTAGAAACTGTGTCAAATTACCGTCCTATTTCTCTCTTACCAGTAATATCAAAAATTTATGAAAAAATTGTTAACTGTCAGTTATTAAATCATTTAGAAGAATTTAAACGATTAAATAATACTCAGCATGGATTTAGGCCTGGAAAATCTGTAATTACAGCAGCAGTATCATTCATAGAATCTATAATTGAATAGGTTGATAAAGGCGAGTTCACAATTGGAATTTTCATGGACCTAACTAAGGAATTTGATAGTGTCAACCACACTTAACTGATAGATAAATTACTCATTTTAGGGGTTACAAAAAAATCAATAAAATGGTTTCAGTCATACCTAAATAATTGTTGTTAGTTTGTAGAAATCACAAATAATTATGATAACAGAATTACAACATTTTCTTCTTAAACTGAAAGGGTTAAATGTGGTGTACCCCAGGGGTCAATTCTTGGCCCCCCTTGTTTTTATGTTATATAAATGATGCTGGTGGTGCACTCTCATGTTTACCTCAGAACAATCTTTGTTTTTATGCAGACGATACAAATCTCAAAGTATCGGCTGAGTCAGTGACAAGTTGAAATTTTAAGTTTTGTTGAATTGGCAAACATTGGAAACTTTCTAGAGCAAAATAAAAAATGTTTAACTTTTAAAACAAATCAAAATAAAAAGTTAATTAAACCAAATATCATGTATAATGCAGAAGAAATTGAACATAAACACAGTACACAGTTTCTAGGTTTAACTGTGGACCAACATTTAAACTGGGATGAACATGTTGATAAACTTCTTTCAAAATTATCTTCAGGACTATATTTACTCTCTAGAATGTTTTATTTTTGTAACCATAAAACATTAAAAAACATATACAGTATTATGCTAATGTCCATTCGCATTTATCCTATGGTTTGTGCCTTTATGGTTCAACCACAATAGAAAATTTGGATAGGATACTTAAACTTCAAAAAATAGCAATAAGAATAATTTTAAATTAGAACACAACGAAACAACCAAAAACTAACTCAAAGAACTGAAAATTTTTACGGTATATGGCCAATTTATTTACGACACAATTATTCTAGCAAAAAACTGCTTGAGCACCTCTGAGACAAATTATCACCCATACAACACTCTGCATAAAAAATTCCTTCTTTCAAGTAAACATAAATTAAAATTCTATGAAAAACCCATCCTATATAGGATTAAAAATGTTTAAGCATCTTCCTAATGAAATCAGAAATTAACAAAGCAGGAAGAATTTCATGAGAAAACTAAAACTTTATTTAGTAGAGAAAGCGTTCTATTCCCTGGAAGAGTATTTTTCCACCTCCCCTCTTAGCGTTAGTAATTGATTCAGTTTTGATTATTTTCATTTCCTGGTTCTTGGTTTTTAATGTAGATAATGATCCAAGATATGCAAATTTGTAAATTATTAATTTAAGATAGATTTAGTTGACGCCATTCGATGTACGAAACTGTCCTTTATGAATAAAGCATATTTGATTTGATTTGATTATTAATTACTAAATAAAATCTAACAAATTTAATATTAGTCATGGCCCTTCGTTTAACTTAAATTATGTTTATTTCAGGATTTGTCTTTGGTTAAAGACATATATCCCTAATTCTAAATGAATCCCGAAACTCTTTATGGACTTAAATTATTTATCAAAGTATTGACTTTTATTTTAGCTATGTATTACTTATTGGGAGCTATTCAGAACAGGGCATTTTCATCTTTAAAATTTCGCTATAAAAATAATTTAATGTTATTTGAATGTCTATGACTCATAATAAATTTGTCAGATTTTATGTAGTGATTAATAAAATTAAAGCTAAACATTTACTGAGTAATTTAAGACCAGAAAAATCTTGGTGACGTATTAACAACCCGAGATATAAATCTTTTAATAAAAACTGGTGTCTAAAAATTAAATTTAATATTTTTTGGGGGTTCTTAGCTCGTCTCTAACTCGTCCGATTTTATTGATCAATAGCTCTAATGACAGTCCTTTCATCATTGAATATTTTAAGGCAAGAATGAACTACAAGCGTTAAAAATGACTGGAGATATAAGAAAAATAAACTTTAAAACGTTTCAATATACTTTAAAGTGCGAAAAGTCCTTAAGAAGTGTATGGGGGAGAGTATTCGTTTGAATATATCTTGAAAACGGAAAAAATATATTTAAAAACGGATTTCGGCATTGAAATCAGCGTTAAAATCTAGTTGATGTGTCACAACAGTATCATTTCATGAAACAATTATTTATATCCAATATAGCGGATTCAAGATAGCAGCCAAAAACATGTTCCCTATCGAAATGAAGTACTGACCACCCGAATATCGGCAGTGGTCCAAAGTCAATCTCTCGTAAAATGTGCATACTAAATGTATGTAGTATCTTTTTTCAAACATTTTTCAATGTTGGGAAAAGCCGCCACTTTTAATCGTGATTTTAGGGGTTTTCCCATGGACCGATTTTTGGCAACTTTTAGTATGTCACTCTGCACACCAAATACTACAAAATAAAACCATAAAACTTTTTTTGCAACTTTTTTAAGGCCATACACTATATTTCTCATACTATAACTACAGTATTGTGTTATAACGCTTTATATATGCGCGTCCCTTGAAACATAAACATGTCTGATTTTGTCCCCGTACCACTGCATTTAAATATCCAAAACTGTAAAAATTCAGTAATTTACTTTCATTTCTTTCAAACAGTCCAAACTGATTTGGTTCTCCATACTATGCCATTCGTATATACCTGGAGGAATCAGATTCTTTAATACATAGGCCTATCTAGATTTTTAAAATCTATAAGTTAAATGATACTAGTAGCCTTACCATGTTTAATCTAAGCTAGGAGGTAGTGTTTACAAAATATATATATACAATAACCTATAGGGTTATTAGTTTATGTTAAATGTATTCTAAATAAGTAGCATTTCAATTACCTTCATCAATATCAGAACCCTCTATGTCGAAGCCTTGCCTGTCTTCTTCACGGTTGAACCGAGGATAATGCAGTTGAAAGGCTTGTAAAGAAGGTGTGATTTTGTCTTTAAAACTTTCACTAACGCAGGTCCAAATCCCTAGAGACCAGGGACACTCGAATACTCTCTGCAAAACCTCCAAGACATTTAAGTCATAACTCTTTTGGTATAATAAATCACTTTCGGTGGTTCGGAGTAAATTAGATGAATTGAAAAAGCTCATAGATAAATTCTGGTAATGTCCCCAATATTGTTTACTCAGATCTTCAGAAGAAAGATTATTTTCAGATTCATTGTTGGTTTGAGCTTTGTAATTTCCTGAATATATATCATTGTTGTCAGCATGCCAAGCTTCTTTGATGGTGTAATCATTTTGTGTTGACTTCAGATGTTGATTATCGGTGATAGTATTGGTTGTAGAGCTAGCAGGAGGATGGATAGACTTAAGGGGCGTTGAATTTACTTGCAGTGTTGAGGTTATTCTAGGAGGAACTGAGTGTATACTTTCGGCACTGCTATCCTTACTTTCTTGATTGTTTGGAGGGAATATCTGTTGATAAGCTGTACTGTCAGGGTTTGTCCTTAACTCTTTCGAGCCTATTGCCCGACCTTCAGAGATAATTTCTAATGGTGATCGGTTGTTAGACATTCTTATCATATCTTTAGTGATGATACTTGAGGAATACACGCACACAATACAAGCTATATACAACGACAAAAGAACACGCACACACATGTCTGGGAACATCTCACTTCAGCACAATGTTTCAACACTGCTGCTTACTAGATCCTACCCAAAGTTATATATGGACGAATTGTGTCAGGTCACTGTAGCTTAGTGGTAAGTTGATCACATCCTTCTAGTACTTGGCGTAAAAAAGTGAACAATTTTACAGTTGGAGGCTGCGATGGATTTATCAAATTAGGCATGATAACCCGTTATTGTCATGCTCTGAAATCATGTCGAGCCACGCGAAGCAAAGCCGGATATGTAGTGGTTCTTTTTATACAGCAATACAATAACTGTTTTAATTATGTTAATTTAGAGTATAAATTTATTTGGCAATATTATGTTTCGGATAGTTAATTAAGCAAAAAGGAAGTTTTATTTAAGTTTCTTAGATTTCATATGTGTTTATTTTCACATGGACTTTTTCTTGTCCCTCTCAGACCAAGAGAAGTCCCTGGAGCCCGTGCTAACGAAAGGCACGTCTTGGCGATATTTGCGTTGTGTTTTGTACAGCGCGTCCTCGAGAGCGTCAAGACTACCGAAGTGATGCCCAGAGGCTACAGAGAGGCCCTGATGAAGGCCGTAGCCCCCCGTGGCCCCGGCGTAGCTACCCAGACCCGCCCCTAGGTGCTGATGCTGGTGTAGGTTGTTGAAGCCCAACACGCTAGACAGTAGCAACGCAGCCTTGCTGATGAACAGAGCCTTCTTGATCAGCAGAATCAGGATTCCGAACACTATAGGCACCAGCGTCACCACATTCAGCTTGATGCCCAGGAGAATGGGCAGCAACGTTTTCTTCAAGATAAGCCTACCTGTAAGCCAGATATGTCATATAAATGTTTTACATAGATTATGTTGGACTTGGTAATGTTTTAATCGTCACCATTTAAGATAACACCATAAGGATATGTTTATTTATTTACATCGTTTATTTAAAAATAATTATTAACATAAAATTCCCGCTTGCATAAAATATTTTGTTTATGTTGCTAGAGCAATAAGACAATAACGATTATATATATTCGTACTTGTAACATTTGACGAACTAATTTCAGAGTACAATGAAACCGTCATAAATTACAACTAATGTTCTTGTTTTGGTGTTTATTTAACATTACGATCATAGCTATGCGAAGTTCATTGCGCTTAGCTATGATGAAAGAGTCCAAAAATGTTCTTACAAATTTATCTCTGTAATACTAGCAAAGCATGAAAGGTCTTAGGAAATAATTTTAAAATACATCATGATAGTTTTCAAGATGGGAACGATGTAGAGTTTACATAGATTTTAGTCGACGACGAACAACTTAGCAACCTGAACAATCAAGTTCTACTAACAATAGTTGTTACGTCAAAAATATCAACACCATGTCATTTATGAGCAAGCACAGCTGTAATCATTCCCGGCACTGCTTTAACTTAAGAAACGATCGATTTCACACGGATATCGGTCTACATGTATCTTACCTGTGCCCAGAGTACGGTCATCTACATGTTTGTGGCGGTCCAGTAGGAACTCTAGGATGCCGTGCCCGGTGAGGGTAGGTCCCACACGGAGGGTCAGTCCTGGGTACACCAGTCCGAGATCCCAGCGTAGTGACCGTCGCTCCAGGAACATCGCCGTCGCGTCCCACAAGGAACGGAAGTCATTGGGGTCGTGATCTACAAATTATTAAATTTTTAATAAACAGTTGTTTCAAAACTTAGTAAAATATTGATTTGTCAATATGTTTACTTTGTTTAGGTTAATCTTTGTGTACCAATGTTTATAGAGAGTATGAACAATATTTCAAGATACTAACAAAAACTAAGAAAATGCCTCCGTTGCAGAAAACCTGCAGACTAAACGAATGTCCATTTACCTGAATTGATATACAGTACAATTAAATATATTTAAATAACATTAGGTCAAACGAGTACCTTAGTTTGCTGCTAAAGGGAGGCTAATAAAGTGTGTTTTTATAAAATATTAATAGTTCAGTGTAAAATAAATAATTTTGCCAAGTTTTATCAAAATATATCCATAAACAAGCATCTACAACATTTTACAATATTATCGATGAGAATAAAATGGGAATTTTAAATTTTAAATTTTTTTTAACTTTATCCGTAGCATAAAACCACACAAAAACGTTTCAATATAATAACTTATTCGACTTTTAAGCTTTTTAAAATGGTCTGGAGATAAAATGGAAAATATTGTGTTTTGATGGTAAAAAATGAGAAAACAATTTTTACCCCATAGAAACCCCCGTTCCCATAGTCCGATGATGCTCTCTCTCTCTCTCTCTCTCTATATATATATATATATATATATATATATATATATATATATATATACTCATTTGAACGAATAGTGTTTTTTTCCCCTCTTGGGACATCAAAATGAAAAACTAAATCGGTCACGGGCTCAACTCTTAATATGAGAGAGACCCTACGGTAATAGCTACTTCATAGGGAAATTCGCTAAAATTGTCTGATTGCCACATTACTATCTTTAAAACCTGAGTTTAAACATGTATTATATTTAGCTTATAACAATGTATAAAAAATAATCGATTTTCTTCGTTGTCACACACAAAAAACGTAAACGTTTTATCGTAAAAATATTTAAATAAATACTTTAAAAATGGTATCATACAACCAACGGTAACCATATGATCAGTTTTTTGTTTCCTACTTACTGGTATCTGACATCTAGTTTTCAGCTTTCTACGTTGTCTACCAGCATTTAGTAAATATATTTTAATATTGTCCTTGCAAAAGAACCCCTGTTAAAACTTTTGCTATTTGCTTATTTTCTAACAAAGAAAGATCATTTTTAAGCCATCTCACCTATAGGAACTATTGTTCTGGCTGCCTGGCCGACGTCCTGCACTAGCTGAAGACCCTCTACCACCTCCAGGCCCCCACGCTGGTTGGCCTCCTCCAGGTACTCTAGAGCGCCAGCGTTGAGACAAGGTAATACAGGACCATCCTTGAGGCAGTGGTCTACCCGGTTCTCACTTCCTGCGGGGTCAACGTCAGGTCCTGGGGACATCACGGCCAGAGACCTCCATGTGAGGCTCAGGAACACCACACATTGCAACACCCGTGTCACCATCATCGTGGTGTGAGCATCCTCCTGTACAACAAGATCTACCTTTAATACGTAATGTTCATGGGAGTGAGGATTTTTTTTAAGCTGTAGGTATACTTAACCCCTATAAATCGCATACTAGATTGAATGTCGTTAAGAAGAATTCCTAGTAAAAAATACGTCCTTCTTCTAAGGACACGAACCTCAAAGGGGTGTGTTTAATCTCAGTTCGGATAAATATGCGTCAGCTGTCACATTATTAGCTTGTATATATGTACAAGCTGCTATACCCGTGCTTTGCAACGGGAAGAAAATGTGACCTAGAGAGCTATTAAAGTGGTGCTGATGTGTGTTTTAAAATACAGCAACTCTATGATTTAGTTTGAAAATATGAACCGATTTAAAAGCGTAAACCTACTTACTTTCAAACCCCTAATTTTTATGTTAATAGAATAGATCCCTTAGAATATGACCACATACCTTAGTGTAGCAATAGCACCAATTGCTTCATATTGATGCTTCATGAATGATATGTTTTACCATAATTCTTCAATTTTAGTCAAACCTCTTGACATGTAGCTTACTCTTAAATTATAAAATGAAACTTTAAGCAATACTTTACAAAACGTATAGAACCTCACTTTGAAACCAAACATAACCCTCCTCAATCTATATAGCTCACAACACACACATCTTTTTCGAGTAAACAAACACCAGTTCATTGTACTGACCAGCTTTTTCATTAACTAAATTAAATTAAATCATTTAAACATTGAAAGCATGCCAGGCGTAGCACTTTGGAAATCAGCCTGTGGGGCAGAGCCCTTAGGAAATTCGTCCATATCAATACTTTTCGGCAAATCTACACACTCTAAGCTTCATTTTGATGTGCCATATGCCTATATTTTTATTTGGTATAACCGTTTACATAAAATTTGATTCTATCACTTTAATAATATAATAGATTATCATTAATTAACGCAAGCAGTATTCTTTTCACAGTCATAACTCGATAACGGAACGGGTATTAACGTTTCAGGTGTCAAATTTAAGACATTTTCACGTATGTACATATACGTCACATAAATAAAAAAAACATCACTAAAGTACAGTTAAGGGCTTAAGTTTCGGAACGGTTGTGCATTCTGACGACGTTGGATCAAACTCAATTCACTTTTTTTACAACTTAACATGGTTTGAAATAGTTCTTAAGGTTAACCACAGACTGTAGGACCTATTACTTCAAGACCAATGCCGGAATCAATATATATTTTTTTACATCTGTTTAAATAAATATATTTTTTCTTCCATTCGTATCCGGTACATACACAATTACACATACGGTATAAAATAGTAGGTGTAAGGAAATTCTTAGTGTATTATTCACATTATTTTACCCGTAGAGGAAAGGGATAATTCCCCTCCCTCCCTCAACGACCCTCGGATCAATTAGTTTTAACCGACCATATTATGTACCTGACAGACCCCCGAATCAGTTTGGATGTTTTAAAACCACCCTCTGACCGCGTATCAGTTAGGAGGAGTTTGCTTATGATGAAATGCATACGAGTCGACGTATAATGGCTTCACTCCAAATCGTATTTGAATTGAAACTATTGTACGTAGTTTTCAAGTGAGCCCTTTTGTTCCAGTTAAAAAAAAGATTTCTGGTTATCACACATTATAGAAATTAGAATGTCCGAGCTCACGTCATTCACATATCATATAATTCATTTAATACTAATCATCAATTCAAATGATTAACCCTAGTTCGAAACAAATGACAAACAATTTACATACCTTGGGCAGAGTATCCAGAACAACGCAGCACTCTCACTGACATGAAGCGGACCATGGACTGCCTCAAGGTATATATTTGAGCTGACCACTAAAATGTATTCACTTTCAGTTTCCGTCCGGTGCACACTACCCGACTATCAGCACGATCTGCAGTGAAAGTGCTGATGTTAGTTGCTGATTGCTGATTGCTGAACCTTCCGTCTAATTTCCTCCGACTCCATGAACAAAGAAAGCGACCATCCATGTGTGCTGCAGCACGAATGTAGATGAAGCGTGTTCGGAGTGCGGAGGTTGGATTGTTGCTGTATATCTAGTGTGCACGATATTAGGCTGTAACAAGAAAATCACCTCTGTTTTGCCTTTTAGATTGTGTAGTACTGTAGTGACCAAGAGTTTAGTTTTGTAAAATAATAAATATGATGTAGTTATATATTGCTGGTATACACTTTTTAATTTAGTTAGTAAATTAATTATATGTATGACTTAATTTAGCTGTTTGCCCGACTCTCAGAATGATCAGCCACAAAAAAAGCTTTGAATGGATTAAGGCCGATTAGCGAGATGCTTAGGGCACTTTACCGCTTCTGCAATACAACCACTTTGTTTCAAACTCATTCTTAATATTCTATTAATAAAATTTTACATGTATAAATGTTTACAAAATAAACATATTTCATCAAGAAAAATCATTCCTTTGTTGTAAGTGAACGATTGATTTTTGTTTGTTAACTGCGAGTTATAAGTTAATTAGGATTCGAAAGTAAATTTTAACATAGGTATATTATGTGTATGCAAAATAATGACGTGGAATGATAGTTTGCAACCCAACTAAACAGCTAGAAGAACAGAACTATTTTTGAATTTGAGAATCATCATCCACTAAAAGCTTGAGTACAGCAGTCTTGTGGAACTGATAAGATAGTAAAAACACTGATCATGTAATTAATTGATTGTTGTAAATTTTTGTAGTGATGAGAAAGTACGGCAAAGGAAAGCTGTGGCGTCATAATATATGCATAATAATGTGGAAGCGCTATCATAAAACAGAACGAGCGAGAGCTGCTGATTGGTTAGCAGATTGTTATTACTATGGTTACCTGTTTTTATCCAATTCAAGCTTAAGCTTTCATTCTTCTTAACTTGCTTGTTTGTTTGAATGCAATAAAAAATTAAATCATATACTTGTGAAATTGCTTTTCAAATAACTTAGGCATGGACCAATTTAAGATAGCTCAGTGGCTAACGAATATGTTGAAAACATTATTTTACCGTTCAACTTTTAGATGTGGGAAGAATAACTAGTTTTTAACGTAACACGTAAGTTCAGTAAGTTAAGTATTAAGGTTGGTTACGCCAATTTATTTTCACTGAGTCCTCACCAACCAGTTTACAGTAGCCACAAAATTATCCATCGTCCATGTAATGTAATTTACAATCCATGATAATTGAAATATTTGATTCAAATATTTTTATGGGTTCCACATCAAATGGAATAATATTAATACTTCTTAGATGATTTGACTACTTTCTTTTTCTTTTAATCAAACACTTAATCACACTTCTTTTAAAACGTTTTTTTTTATATTAAATTTTCACTATTTATGGAGTTACTATCAAGCGGTGCGGTATGGAAGGATCTAATTTCTTAAGATGACTAATTGAAACAAACTGCATGACAGTAGCAGTGGAGGTCGTGGCTGCGATAAATATTTAAGCGAGCTCGTGAGTGTGAAATCGTCGTGGTCGTTGTGTTATGATAATCAGCTGATTACCATACATGTTTGTGCTAACGTTACAATGATATGGTTCGTTCTTTTAGAGTGTGTAAGTCTACTTCTGATGTTACTGTAGTTAGATATTAGATTAGTAAGGTGTATAAAAGGCTAAATGCTTTATTTTATTTTACCCAATCTCATTTTACATTTTATTTTTTTAAATATCTATATATTAATTTGAAACTGTTTTTCTTTGTCATAGCTAAATTGAGAGAACGGCTGGGCGTAGAAACTCGGTAGAGGTGTCTAAAGAAAGGTCTTGGTCTGTAGATGAGCCATCAAAAGAGAAACGTGGTAAATTCCCTTGGGGCTCTGCCCCAGTGGCCTTTGAATTCCCATCCCATGTTATTCTTATGGAGGAAAAACTGGGTTTTTGTCCCAGCTAATTTGAGAGAACGGCTGGGCGTAGAAACTTGGTAGGGGTCTCTAAAGAAAGGTCTTGGTCTATAGATGAGCCATCAAAAGAGGAACGAGGTAAATTCCCTTGGGGCTCTGCCCCAGAAGCCTTTAAAGTTGCCTCTTCAAATTTGTTTACCATATGCATGATTCTACACTACTTTTTAATGAAACAGCTGTTAATATTTAAATTGTGATTTATTGAATTTTTCAAAATAAAGTACAGTATTTGCAATGGGTTTTTCTGATTTTAAAATCGATTTTATTCTGCATCGTGTCATGTTTTGCAATATAATGTTCTATTACCAAATCAGTGGAAAATCCTAATATCATAGTAACTCTTAAAATTATTTATTATGGAGTTAACTTATATCTATTGTATGGCTTGGTTTCTGCCTTTTTTACCACTTCTTGGAGATTGTACGTAGGTGATATTCTTTGGCGTATTGCATCTGTAGACGAAACTTGGGTTGGTGAAATTATTACAATGGAAAAAGCGAGAAATCCTGGACAATTTGATATAGGCTAAAAATAAAACTGAATTAACAATATGCTACATGCTACATTTCTTGAACAATCATTGAAATAACCGATTTGCAAACAATGGAAACATAGAAAAAGTCATAGAACATAACCAAGTAGAAGAAAATAAATAATGTTTTTTTTTCATTTATAATCGTTATTATAGACAACCTAATGCGGCTATGAGAGGGAAAAATTTGTAGAAACACTAAAAAACAAGATCAGCTTTTTGAGAAAAGACAAGATATTTACAAAATATTTTGATTATATCTAACTGTTGTGTAGATCGTGAGTATTTCCATAATCTTCGCGAGTCGCCTGTAATGCTTCGCAATTGCTCGAATTCGAGCAACAGGTACACTAGTTTTATTAAATTTCAAACGACACTCTCTCTTATGGCAGGAGGTTTATAAGTGATCTAAATCCCTCGTAATAAATAACCTTGGGGAGCTGGTACCATTTCAAAAACCAATCAGTAAAGTTTGAACTAATAATTTATACGAACTTGCCATTTCTAATAATCTTCGGTAGAAAATGTTATAATTACATATCTGACATATTTCAAGTTTATAATTTTCAGGTCCTTGGATGTGCTTGCAGCTCACCCCCAACCCACGGCCGTATGCACGTGGTGGTGTCTTGGCCAGGGGTGGATATACTCTTTTCCTCTGACGCTGCCAAAAACGCCGCCCTTGCTAATGGTTCATACGATCCCTCCAAAATGACTGTTTGGTCTATCCTTCCATATGGGGACAGACTGTTCTTATTCTGCCCCAATCAGTTTAAAGGAACGTATTCCACTGTTAATTTCATTTACATGAATGGTAAGTAATACTGCATTTTCAAACATAAATGTTGAAATTTAGTTTACAATCTACAATTTTACGGAGCTTAAATTGTACAATATCATAAATCTATTTGAGTAAAAAAATAATTAAACTATAACATAACTTGTCAAAATCCGTCATAACATAACTTGATAAAATTAACCAAAGAATATATCTCCTAAAAAGAACTCTCTTCTTTAAGAGTTTTAGCAAATTTAACCGAATATGACAGCTTCGAACGAATAAACTACATTGTACTTATAACTAACTAGTACAATGAATTATTAATTGTCAATGTAATGGGGCTCCTAATTGGAGCTCCTCCGAAACAGTTCCAGCAATGTGTTGGGATGTTTCTCCATGATTCGGTCAAAAATAAATTTCAACACTAAAACCTGTTTTTCAAAACTACTCTTGTTGTATCTAATTAACCTGATTTTTTTTATAATTCTAAAATTTATTTGAGTAGTGATATTTTTCATGAAACGGTTCAAGATATTTTTCCTTTAATTTCTAAGTTATATATTAACAACGTTGCTGTTACGCAGCCGCGTTCTTCCATGCACCTGACCCCCTCTTATGTGAAGTGAATCACCCTATTCCTTTAATTGAGATTTTGTATCAAAGGAATAAAGAATGAGCAAGATTAAAATTACCTGGTCCATATTCACATGGAGAAAGTTGTATGAAATTGTTTATTTTATGCTTTTTCCTTTTCTTTTACAAAAATTACATCCAAATTATCTGATTGGTTTTAGATGTAACCAACATAGAATCTCCCAAACTAAGACCGTATCCTCCCACTCTCAACAGTATTGTCTCTGTGTTCCGAGCGGTCACCTCCTGCGAGGACTATCACATGTACTTCGTGGACGACGGCGTGGACAGTTTCTACGACGTGAGGGTCCGCAGACATCCCCCTAGACTGTTCAAAGTACACCTACCCTCTGACACCCTTCGTCACTTGTACACTCTCGCCCCTGACGACTACACAGACACCTCCGCCTTCAGCAACCTCGTGGTGGACCAATGCGGCGATGCCTACGTTGTGTATATATGTGACTTGACTGACTACGCCGTGGTTGTGGTGGATTTACACAGGAACGCCTCTCATCGGGTCAGGCATCCTTACTTTGTAATGGATCCGTTCTCTGCCTTCTTAGATACTCCTGCTGGATATAGGTAGGATACTTAATCAAAGGTCGTTCCAAGTTTATTTCAAATTAAGAAATATTTATGGTGTGTATGTATATTGAGGAAAAGTTTGTCTTTTCTCTATCCTTGTCCTAAAACTACATCAAACACGAAAATAAATCATTTCAGTTTTGGAGACTATAGGTTTTTAAAGATTGCTCTATCCCATTTAGTGATTCTTTTGTCTGCCTTGCTATTAAAACTGATTAATAAACCCCTTCAAAAGTCAACCCTTAAATTTTTACAAAAACTCTTAAATCAAGTAACAAAACAGCAATATATCTATGACCCTCTTTTATAAACATAAAATATAGGTTTTTGTTAGATGTTATTTTTTATTAAGAACTACTGAATGTTTTGTAGAGAATGAAATTAAATGGAGATTATAAGATGAGAAAAAAATAAACACACTTTTGGGATAGGAGAACAAGCACACTGTTTTATTTACTTTTTGATACACAACATGTGTTAGCAATAGAGAATAATTTAATTTGATTAAGAACACATGTTAGTTGCAAGGAAAAGAGATGTACATTAAATAAAACATAGAGTGTTAAATAATATGAATGGTTAAAGTTTACTGAACATACCGGGGGCCTTGAATCCCCAGTGGATTCAACAAAAACAGTTCACGAATCCACAGTTGGCAGGGGAAACACTTTGTGGGCAGATCTTCTGAGGTTGCCACTTGATGTTTTTAAGTCTATCACTCGCACAACCCCATCAGCCCCTGGATGAACTGCTGTAATTCGAGCGAGAGGCCACGAGAGAGGTGGTGAGTCCATATGTACCAAAACAAGGTCACCCACTTCAAGATTTTTTGATTTCCGAGTCCACTTGGTACGTTGTTGCAAGTTGTTTAAGTATTCTAGGTGCCATCTATGCCATATGCGTTGATGAAATGCTTGAACTAGCTGCCATTGCTTGAGACGGTTTTCAGGAACTGTCAGGAGATTAGGTTCAGGTACTGCTGTGAGGGGTGCACCAATCAGGAAGTGTCCGGGAGTCAGTGCTGCGAGATCCGAAGGATCATTTGAAAGAGGTGTCAGTGGTCGGGAATTGAGCATTGCTTCGATTTGGGTCAACAATGTGATGAATTCAATGAGTGTTAAGACTGAGTTTCCCATTACTCGACGGAGATGATGTTTCACATTCTTTACAGACGATTCCCACAATCCTCCTTGATGCGGAGCGGCTGGTGGATTAAAATGAAAATTGATGCCTTTAAGTGAAGAGAATCGTTGAATCTTCCGTTTGGAGTCTTGACAATAAAGAGATTTTTCAACAATCTTGCGTAGGGTAGAGTCAGCACCAATGAAGTTGGACCCACAATCCGAGTAAATGTCGGAAGAATGTCCTCTGCGAGATACAAATCGAGTCATTGCAGCAATGAAAGATTCAGTCGTTAGGTCTGTTACTACTTCCAAATGTACAGCTTTCGTGACGAGGCAGATGAAAGTACAAAAGTATGACTTTATGTGTCTCACTGCCTTGAGGTTGAAGATTTTTACAGTAAAAGGCCCTGCATAATCTATGCCGGTGTGGAGGAAAGGTCGAGCAGGAGTTACACGAGACTGAGGGAGATCAGCCATGAGAGGACACACATTTCTAGGTTTGACTTTGAAACATCTGACACATTTATGGATACGAGAGCGTATGGCACAACGGGCAGACAGTATCCAAACATGTTTGTAAAGTAATGCTTGAGTAAGCTGAGGGCCTGAATGAAGATTGTAGATATGGTAGTGGTCAATGAGGAGATTTACCACATGATGCTTTTTTGGCAGAATAATGGGATGTCGAGCATCTTCAGGAAGTGATGTCTGAGAAAGACGTCCTCCAACACGCAATAATCCAAATGAGTCAATGAAAGGTGAAAGACGTTGTAAACGAGTGGAGCAAAATGATTTCCGTTTGAGGCAGTTGATTTCTTCTGTGAATACTTCTTTTTGTACAAGTTTAAAAATGTGATATTTTGTGTCTTTCAGTTCCTGTGTTGAGATGAAACCTTGGCGTTTTTCAGAACCTTTACAGTTGTGTATGAAACGAAGGACGTAAGCAAAAATCCTAAGAAGTCGTTCCCATGAAGAATATTTAATGAGAAGATTGGTCAGCGTAGAATCAGTGGTAGTTGACACAAGTACAGTTAGAGGAGTGTGTTTTACTTCATCTAATGTTGAGATATCTGTAGGTGAAAAAGTTACATCAGGCCAGTTTGAAGGGGGAAGAGAAAGCCAAGAAGGCCCTGACCACCAAAGGGGGTGAGACACAAGTTCAGTGGCTAGAATACCTCTTGAAGCACAATCAGCAGGGTTTTCCTTGCTAGGGATGTAACGCCAACAGTGATAGGGGACAAGTTCTTGTGTTTGGGCGACTCTGTTAGCCACGAATGTTTTAGCCTGTAAGATGGAGTTTGAAGCCATGTCAAGGTTACTGAAGAATCACACCACAAATAACATTGGTTGAGTGAAATTAAGGGTTTGAATGAAGAACAACAGAAGTTTACGAGTTGAGCTAATAAGTGGGCAGCGCAGAGTTCTAATCGTGGAAGAGTCACCTTCTTGAGAGGGGCGACTCTAGTTTTAGATAAAACCATACGTGTAGTCACTTCTCCGTTGGGTTGGGAACATCGTACATAGACAACAGCTGAAAACCCACGTTCAGAGGCGTCTGAGAAGCCGTGAAGTTCAACACTAGAATTTGGAGAGATTTTCAATGCTCTAGGGATCTGAATGTCTGCAAGTGCTGGTATCGCTGAGATAAAGTTACTCCAAATTGCACTAAGTTCTGGAGTTAGAGGTTCATCCCATTGTAGACCGGTCGTCAAGAGAAGTTGAATAAAACATTTCGCTGTCATAGTACATGGGCTAAGAAATCCACAAGGATCGTATATTTTAGCGACTAGACTGAGAACGTGACGTTTAGTTAGTGTTTTTGGCGGTAGGTTGAGATGAAATGAAAAATTGTCCGAGTCTGGAGACCAGTGTAGGCCAAGAATTGAGAAATGGGGATCAGGTGTATTTTCAAGAAAGACTGGAGAGTCTTTATGAGTGTCTGGAAGAGACTGAAGAAGCTCGGGAGAATTTGAAGTCCATTTTCGAAGTTCAAAGTGTCCACGGTTGAGTAGTTGAATGAGTTGATTTTGAAGGTTCTTTGCTTCATCTACCGTGTCTGCTCCAGTTACAATGTCGTCTACGTAAGTCTGAGTGCGCAAGACATTTGCTGCTTCAGGGAAGTCTTTACCTTCGTCTTCAGCTAACTGGTGGAGGGTACGAATCGCTAAGTAGGGTGAGCTATTTACTCCAAAAGTCACTCGAGTGAGTTTGTATGTGGATATATCTTCAGAGGGATTGTCACGCCACAAGACGAGTTGGAACAGTTGATCGGAAGGTTTGATTAAGATTTGAAGATACATTTGGCGAATATCGCAAGTGAAAACGATATTGTGTATTCTGAAATGTAGCAATATATCACAAATGTTGGTCTGTAATTTAGGGCCGGTCATGAGAGAATCATTGAGGGAAATTCCAGAGCTGGTTTTGCAGCTTGCATCATAAACGATTCGGAGTTTAGTTGAGGTACTGGATGGTTTCACAACTGCATGGTGTGGCAAGAAATAGTGAGGAGAGTTGATATCTAGATGAGGTAGTTTTACCATATGACCTTGAGAGATGTGTTCATTTATATTGTCAGAGTAAGATTTATACAAATCAGGAGAGAGTGTAAAACGTCGTTCAAGTGAGTGAAAACGTCGTTCTGCGATGAGTTTGGAAGATCCTAAAGGTGGATGATTTTCTTTAAATGGTAGCTAAACTAAGTAACGGCCATTTTCGTCCCTAGAGTGGGTAGCTTTAAACAGATCTTCACACTGTTGCTCTTCAACCGATATCTTTGAGGGTACAGATAATTCCTCTAATTTCCAAAATTTCTGTAGAGAGTTATGCAATTCGTTGTCAACCGTTGAGAGCAGAGAGATGGATGGAGTGTTGGCAGGCTGGGAATCGGTTGAACAAGGTGCATTCCCCATAACAACAAAGCCAAAGTGAGTTCCCATCATGTTAGGCATGTTAGGGCCGAGAGAATAGTTTTCATTCGTTAAAAGAAGAGGGAAGAGAGAAGCTCCGATCAGCATGTCAATGGGCCCTGATGAGTGGAAGCTGGGATCAGCAAGGGGGTAAGGTTTTACTTTCAATAGAACTCTTTGTGATATTTGAGATCTAGGGAGATTGACAGATATTTTATCAAGTATGTGCACTTCATGGTTGGATGCAACTAATTTTCCTGCCAGTGTGTTAACAGTGAGGTTCACAATACCCTTTGTGAGAGTTGGAGATTGAGAAAGACCAACTACTTGTAAGTTGGATTTGAAACGAGGTGCATTCAGTAGTTGAGCAGCTTTTTCACTAATAAAATCACACATGCTGCCACTATCAATCAATGCTCTGAACACATGAGAAACGTTATTTTGAGCAGTAACTTTAACCAGTGTTGTGCCTAAAATTACAGTTTTAGGGATTTGATTAGCAGGACTGGCTTCCTGTGAGCAAAGAGATACGGTAGGTTTTTCATTCGAAACATGAGTGGTTGATGGTTGTGATGATGTAGAACCTTGATATGTCTTGTCATGTTCAAAATGAAGTAAGGTGTGATGACGTTTGTGGCATTTGAAGCAAGATGCTTTAGACTTACATGTTTTAACATCATGTTTTCCGAGGCAAGAGACACATCTGTTGTTGTCCTTTACGGTTTTAAAACGTTCATTTGAAGAAAGAGAGAGAAAGCTAGGACAAGCATAAACCTTGTGGCCAGTTGATGAGCAGACAAAGCAGGGAAATGAGAAAGGATTTTTTGAGTTGTCTTGATTTGATGGAGTTGGAGTAGAGACCATTGTAACTTTCTGAGCTTGAATGAAAGAGGGCTTGGATGTGAAAGATTTGGGTTTAAAATTTGAATTGTGGTTGTTCGTACTTTGAGCAAACTTGGTATGTAACACAGCGTCTTCCATTTGGTTACACTCTTGATTAAGAAACTTGACTATTTCGACTACTTCTGGTAGAGAATGTGTTTCGCATTTTATATTAATTCTAAAAGCCTCTAGTTGTTTTAGAAGGTCATTGTCTAGTTTTCGTAAGAGTATGGTGGACAACAGAGGGTTAGAGTTAGAAGTAATGTCACAGTCAAGAGCTTTAAGTGCTTCTGTGTGTTCATAAAACAAGTTGAGGAACGTTCTGAGACATTTGTTTGAGGTAGAGGAAATGTCCGGTAGGTCGATCAGTTTGTTTAGGTGAAGTGTAGTTAACCTTCGGGTGTTGTGGTATCTGTCTCTGAGGAGCTGATAGGCAATTGAGTAATTGGCTGAAGTGATACTGAAAGCTTTTACGAGATTTAGTGGTTCATTTTTGAGCATGCTGAGAAGATATTGAAATTTAGTGACGTTTGAAATGTTTTCATTCAGATGGATGCTAGTGTCAAATAAGTTGATGAAACTTACCCACTGTAGAGGAGAACCATCAAACGTGATGAGGTCTAGTTTTGGGAGTCTTACGTGAGCAGATGATGAAGCTGAGATGTCACTAATTCTTGTTGAATCTTTACTTTCTTCTGGAACATCTTGCGGCTGCTGTTGGAGAAGGGCTTCAATCCGAGACTTGGCTTCGACGAATAGCAGTCGCAGTTTGTCTTCAGTGTCACTTACTGCATCCAAATCTAATTCTTCTGATATATGTTCCAAGGCTCTTTCCAGGTAATTTTCATAGGCTTCATGTTTCTTTTCTAACTGGTTCGAGAAGTTGTTTAAAGTTCTGATTTGTATCACTGACAAGATTGAGGGGGAAAGTGTTTCAAGCTCTTGTACAGATTTGAGAATCTTTTCAAAAGAATTTTGTATGAGAAGGGTTGATTTGTTGAAGTTTGAGAGTGAAATTGATCTGGTAGCCATATTGGACAAAACAGATGGAGTGAAACTTTACTAAGAATTAGATAGAGTTTGTGACACTATGAGAGTGGGGAGAAACATAAAGAGATTGAATGATAAAATAAAGATATTTCGATAGCTTGAAAGTGTTCTGAAATTGAATCCAAAGACTGAAATTCAAAATCCAGGCTCGATTAGGACCAATGAATGTTTTGTAGAGAATGAAATTAAATGGAGATTATAAGATGAGAAAAAAATAAACACACTTTTGGGATAGGAGAACAAGCACACTGTTTTATTTACTTTTTGATACGCAACATGTGTTAGCAATAGAGAATAATTTAATTTGATTAAGAACACATGTTAGTTGCAAGGAAAAGAGATGTACATTAAATAAAACATAGAGTGTTAAATAATATGAATGGTTAAAGTTTACTGAACAACTACTGTTTGGCAGAATATGAAGTGATAAATTTGTCTTCATGGAAATTTAGTTGATGTAATTAAAATACAGAAAATATTAACCTTGTTCGTTTTTATTTATAACATTTTTAGACTAATCCATATCGCCCTTAACTTTGGAAGAACATTACGACCGACCGTAAATAAAAATGTCAAAACGGCAAAATGACTATGACTCTTATGCAGTATAACTACTTGTAGATCAATTTCTCGTACCTCTGTAGTTTTCTCTCGATAATAAATTAAAATAAAAACAAATAGACACATAATTAAAGTTATTAGACCTACAAAAAGACACGGGTGAAATAATAACTTCAAATTAATAAAATTTAGGACTACCATCTGTCATCGTATCCCATGAAAAATCATAGTAGACTATTAAATATTTTATTTGTTAAGAGTAAACTAAACCTTAACGACCACCTTATAACCAAGTTAGCATAGTACATTAACTAAGGTACATTCCATTGTCAGACACACATTTCTCAACGACGGAGTGGCCGCCCTAGCACTGTCACCCTGTTTGGAACACAAGAGTGACAGAACACTCTATTTCGCCAGCAGCGGAGGTCGTCATCTGTTCGCAGTCTCCACGGACATTCTGCGAGACAAAACCCTCAGCTCGGACACCAGCAAGTACCGTGTCGTGGGATACAGAGGGGACAGATCACAGTCCAACAACCTTGTCTACAACACCCAGACCGACGTCATGCTGTATGGGACGACTCAGGAGAATTCCCTATATTGCTGGAACACGTAAGTACCCAAGTAGCACACATCGTTGTCCCAACGTTGGGAAATGGTCGGCACGGTTGGGAAATGGTTGGCAGAAATTTTAACGATTTGCCAACGTTGGCCCAACGGAAACTGGTATTCGTTGGCCCTACAAAGGAAAGAATCGTTGGGCCTTCGTTGGGCATTCGTTGGGTTTAAGTATAAAACATTCTAAAACGAATTTTAACAAATTGATTTATTTAAAAGTACATAAATGGTATGGCAGCAGAATATAAGAAAAATATTGTAAAAATTTGGATCAATAATGAATGTAGTCAGATGATGTTGTAATACTAGATACAGTGGGGAACACCTGCTTAACATATAATAATTATTATAATTATTATTTTTTTAATATTCTTTAACTTATTTAAGCAAGTTTTTAATAGTTATAGAGAAAAGATTAATTAATTATATAACAATCAATTATAATAGTAGCCTACCAATTTAATGGTAATTAAATAATCTATATTCAAATACTGCTATTATCCTCTCCAACTACCAGAAAAACAATTCAACTACTTGAGGCCTAAACAGATTAACAGAATCATATTAAACTGTAGCATAAAAAATATTTAAAGTATTAATTGTGACCATTGCACCTGTCGGCTACTCTTTCACCACTTGAAAACACTCTTAATCAGCAAGCACAGTTAGCTCAGAGGTAAAGCGTGAGGCTCACATGACGAAGGTACCGGGTTCGAGACCCGTCCCGGCCGAAAAAATTTTATTTTGTTTTATTTTCAAAATAAGCTTTTATTAACTATTTAATCAATTTACTCAACTCATAATTATGCTTTTCATACAAAATCTTTATTATTTTGTGTTTTTTATGTTTATGCCCAATGGGATGGTTGGCCCTTCCGCAAAAATTGGTTGGTTGGCCAACCGTAAGACTGAGTGCCAAAACATACCGTTGGCCAACGATCGACAGAAACGTTGGGCCAACGATCGACAGAAACGTTGGGCCAACGATTTGCCAACGATTTTTGCTACTTGGGTATTGGTTGTTCAACAGAAAAATGTAAAGTTTGCAATAAAAGAAAGATACATTATCCACACACGACGTAGAGGAGATCAAATTTGTGATATTTCAAGAATTATAGGGTAAAGTATTGTATACAGTAGCTAAAATCCTAAGTTCCGTTTTCGCCATGGATACGATTTGATCCATAACCTATCAGTAAAAGTACGATAAAAAAAAGAGTTCGTATCAGACTTAATAAACATAGGCTTCAAATCCCCTGCTAGTGACGTGTGCAGCTCGTGTTCTTTATTGGACCTGAAGATAATAAAATCATTTATAGGGTCTGATAAACGTGTGGCCATCATAATTGAAAAAAAAAATAGTTCATAAATTACCGACGGATGTATTTTACTCGATAATGAAGGAAAGAACTGACGTATATGTTGTTAGTTTGTGCTTTGACCTTCAGAAAATTCAACAACTACCAAAACAAATGTTCAAGAAGCATATTATTTGAGGCATTTAAATTTTTTAGTTGATGCATTACGACTTTGGTTAGGACAAATCCTACGTTTTCTACCTGGACATAGCATTAAGAGACAAAAAAGTCCAGAAATTTCTTCTGCTCTGATGATCATTTCAAGTAGTATAAGAACATAGTATATGACATTCCAGCTGGCAGGGAAGATACATAGGAACTGTGTGACTGTTTGGATGAAGATATTGGCTTAAGAGTTAAAATTGTTTGTGAATTAGGCCTATTTGGCATACGTGTACTAAAATGTCCTGCAAATAACCTTTATGGAAATTTATTTATATCTCATGTTTAGCATACTGTCTTTTCAATAACTAGATCTACTTAAAATAAATAAATATACCTCGCCGCAGCAAACCTGCAGAATTAGCGAATTTCCATTTGCCTGATTTGATTTTCACTGAAATATATCTAAGTAACATTAGGTTTAACGAGTACTTAGGTTTGCTGCTACTGGGAGGAGTTTTAATAAAGTGTTTTTTTGTAAAATAATAATAGCTTAGTATAAAATAAATAAATTTGCAAAGTTTTATGAAAATATGCCCATAAACGAGCAATCTACAACAGTAGTTATAACATAGAAATACTAAATTATTTGTTTTTTTTTTATTAAGCTCTACAAAATGGTTTGGAAAGAAAATAAAAAAATATGTTTTGAGGGACAAAATGGGAAAACCCAACTTTTACCCCATAAAACCCAGTTCCCTTGGTCCGATCATGCTGGTTCATGAACTCATTCAAGATTATCCCGCCTTACACCTTCAAGATATCGTGTTCACGGACATACATATAACATATTTTAACGAATAGTATTTGGACTCTGGAGGCATCAAAATGAAAAAGTAAATTGGTCTTGGGCCTAGGTCTTACCGTGCCAACCTACGGTAATAGCTACTTCCCTATGGAGAAATTCGCTAATAAAATGCTAATAGTAGACATTTGTTTAGGCCCTATTTCAAAAATTTCCGTTCAAAACCAGCTTTATGCACTGTACAAATAAATGTGCTTTCTCCTTCAAGTTAATTTATAACCTAATTAAAATTAACTTTTTAGGCTGAACAGCAAAATAAAAACAAATCATTATACAAGTTAATTTATGTTTATTTTTTGTTTTCTAGGAAATAACCGTATCTGAAGTCTGTTAAATGATTGCTCTTAGCCATATTTTAAATTGCTTCATTTATCTATTGTTATATTTATTTCTTGTATTCTTTGTTAAATTATTTATTGTATATTATTTTTGTTTTTCTATTGAGCTATCGAACGTAATGTTACAGTAAGTTATTTTTGTTTGTCGCAACAAGTTTCAAATTGTATCTTAGGTATAAGGGCTACTCATAAGTCATATACTGGCTCTCAGTCTTACGTATTGGCTCACGTAAGCCTATGGTATTTATTACATGCCTACGGATTGGCATGTAAAAAAACAAATGACACAACATATAAAAAGATAAATATTAAATTTTAACCACATAATCCGTTTAGGAACAAAATCTATGTCTATGTCAAGCTAAAATGTTGGATAAGTTTACCCAGCACGAACAACTACAGTGACAAACCACTTTGAATGACACTGGCGTCTGTCGCTTTGTTGCGGCTGGGAGTCTTTGTCAGTTAAAGCTTAAGCTACACAAAGCATAACATTCTCTACACACTCGTCGTTAGTCGTATTTAGGTAAAAGTACCTGGGGACCGAGCTTTGCTCGGGAAACTAAACATTAAGGAATAAATAATAATAAATTTAAGCTTTAATTTAAAATACCTTATGTTACACGCTTTCATAGAACAAATTGTCCTAATAACAACACCGTTATGGTGTATAGGTAATTAATGAAAATTAATTACATAATTACATTACATAATTAATACATAATTAATGAAAATATTGATTGACATCAAATCAAGAGTTAAGTATTTATTTTATCTATACAAAAGACATTTTAGGATTGGATAATGAGTAGTTTTAACCTTGAAGAATCTTTTGCGGTTCTTGATTGGGGTTTCCATTGACGAATATTTCCTGGATATTTAGTTTTTGTTTTGGCTTGGTTGAGTTGTATTCCTTAGGCCTATTCACACAAAAATGTAGGTAGCCTAGCCTAGTTTAGGAGAAAAACCCTTGACACTTATAATATCATCACACTCTTGTGTATGCCTACAGATAATATAGGCTATAATGCTTAAGGATAGATAGCTTCCAGAGCAAATTCAAGTTTTGAAGTTTGTCGTTTTGTAACATTTGTCGACACACGACACGCTGCAACACATACATTTTAAAACTTTTTAGGCAGTTTAGGAGAAAAGTCCCTACACACTTTTCAAAATCATCGCAGTCTTGGGTACAGATAACATAGGCTATAATGCTTAAAATAAAATAGATAGCCTCCACTCTCCAGAGAAATTTCGAGCTGGTGACATTTGTCGGTTTGCAACATTTTATGACAGGCAACGCAAGCTACACCACTATTTTAAAACTTTGTTTTAACTTGGGATATGTTATATCATATCAATTTGCCAAACTTAGCTCAGTTTTAAAACGTATAACCTATTTAAGTAAAGTTTTGTAGCTAAGCCACATAGGCTAGGTCTACCTCGACTAAGGGGTAAACATTTCCCGGGTTGATCCTTGTTGGTGAGTACCAAAAAGGAAACTTAGGTAAAAACATGGTTGTATATCCAAGTTTGGCTGTCCTCGATATAGGCCTAATTGCACTATTTTATTGACACTGACAAATAACAGGCTAGACCTATAAGTTAATTGGGAGTTTATTTGATATCTAGTCCTAAACTTATAGCCATCTTAAGGCATACATAACTTACACCACAGAGAAGTAATATAAACACTCATCCTCTGTGGGCCTAATAAAGCTACCTATATTTTATTTGGGTTAGGATAAGTAATTTTTTGAGAGTTTCATTATGTACTGAACACACCTAGATATAGGGCATTAGTGATTCATGAAATTATCCATTTATAAAAACCAACCTTACCGAGTTACCTAATGATGTACCCAGTGCCAGTACTTAAAACAAAAATTAAGGCTTAAGGCCTATGGATATCAGTTTCAAAACATAGCGGAATAAGGAATTTTTAATCTACTATAGTCCTCGCCACCCTAAGGGCCTCTTCACACTGGGCCACCATGGTGGCGACACCGGTGGCGACACTGGTGGCTAGTCAAAATGCGCATGGACCACCAGTTCAGCCACCAGTGCAGCTGCAGCCACAAAGCTCACAGTTGGACGTCGAAGAGGCAGATGCTTAGCGTATATTTATTTTTGAAATTGTGAAAACATAAGAAAAAAACGTATTTTTTTGTTCATCCGTTTTTATCAGATATAAGAACCAGAGAGACTTTTTTCATTCACTACCAAGACCTTAGAAATAACCCTGACACGTTTCACAATTACTACTTACTCAAGAATGAGTGTTTTAAGTTTTGATGAGCTTCTGGGACGTCTGAAAGATAAAATATCTCCAGAAGAGAAACTTCTACTATTGTTGTGGAAAATTAAATAAAAACATAGTTAATATACCATTTATTAATAACACTGCAATACCTTGACTCAATGTATATATTGCAATGACGAAAAGATGTAAATGAAATAGAGTACCTAAACATTTTGTTATATCAATAAAATCGTTTCCCCATATTTATTACCTTAACAACTTCAAAAGATTAGAAACTAGTATACTGAGTAATGCCCACTGGTAGTGACTGGTGGCGCTGCCAGTCGCTCCAATGTGAACAGTCCGATAAGAAACCATGGTACGACGTGGTGGCGCCACCAGACTGGTGTCTCTGAAAATCGCAACCCCGAGCCACCGCATTTCTGGTCGCGCGGCCAAACGCGCCACCAAAGCTCAGTGTGAAGATGTCCCATTTAAATCAATGCTAATGTAACGTAGCCACCATGGTGTCGCCACCAGTGTCACCACCATGGTGGCCCAGTGTGAAGGGGGCCTTAAGTTGAGGCAGCCCAAAGCCGCACGGCGTGTATCTAGTACGTACGGCCTTTGGCTGCCTCAACTTAGTGTGGCGAGGACTATAGGCATTGATTATAAACAAAACATGGATGAACAACCAAGTCAAGCTAAGTTACTAACCCAGTTGTTCAGGCTAGGATAACCTGAAAGGATCCATCTCAATACGGCTTAAACTTTAGAACAAATACTAGTGTTTGATCTATTTTAAATTTTATTTTTCTGAAATAGATAGCTAAATTATCCAGTGCAATCATCCCACACTGCTAATTGCAATACTCTTAGTTGGTGCTAGTAGTAAGTTAGGTTACAATTCATTATTTTCCCTATGACCGATTCAGTGTAACATCAGTCAGAATCAGACGACATTATTGACAACGACACGACACGACAACCAACGAAAAGAGTAATTTAGTGATGACAATTATTATTAAAACCATTAAAAATATAAAAAATAAGATATATCGCTCTTTTATATTGGCAAAAGTATTAAATAAACAGTAATAAAGCTGAGGCTGAGGCTTATATAAGAATAGTTTTGTCATGGATTAAAAACTCATTACTCTCTCAAGTTGTATAATATAATACAAATTCTTATACATCAAACGATTTAATGAACTGGAGCAAAGTCGAGTCGTTCTCTTTCTCTCTGTCACAAGTTGACAAAATTGTATGTCAGAAGCCAATCAATGAATCAATACACACAGATTCAGAAGTAACAGTCACCTGGACCTCGGAAAGTGCTTCAAGAGCTTTCTGCGCATGCGCAAGCTGAGGTGCCCGTGGGTACAGAACGTCACGTTATGTCTTAAAATGTAAACAAAATTACAATTATGGGGGAATGTTTTCTCATAAGGCCCATGTTAAATTTTCAAAAGTTTGTACTCATATTATGGCAAAAATAGATTTTTCCTGGCTATACCACTAGTCTAGAACTTATTTTTGACACAGAACGTAGTTATTCCGTAAATATAAACGTTTTTGTTAGGGCCGATTCCCAGATCTAGTTGACAATTATTCAAACTTTACTCGTATTATATATAGGATAACCAAGCCATGTCACGTCTCTATTACTTTGGGAATCAGGAGGGTGGTACTGGTAGTGCTAGTGAAATACATGGGTGTTGTTGAAGGAAAATACTCTTTCATTCTTAGCAACCATAATAACTAACTTGGGGAAAAAATAAATGCAGTAATTTTTTTATAGTTTGAAGATTTTTGTTCGAGATTTTTTTTTCATATTTATAGCGCATGGTTTAACATAGCATTCACTAGCCAAGGAACTCTGCGGTAATTTCAAGACGTTTCGGAATCTAAAACACGGTTTCTAGAATGCACAGCCTTGGTGTGACATGTACTACTGTAAGATTAACCTTCAGCTTTCACAGGCGTAAAGGGTTGACTCCTCAAACCCAGAGGTTGGTGTTGCGAGATGACGCTTGGTATCGAACACCTAACGATCTGCAGGAAGACTGTCATGGAGGGTTGTGGGCGCTGGCTAACAACTGGATAGAAGGGCTGTATCGCAACATCACAGGCAGTGCCTCTGTGTCTGAGGGTGCCAACATTGTGGTACTGAAGGGCTGTGCAAGGAAGATGGCGTCTGTCTGTACTGGAATGTAACCATTATATGCAACCCATCTACCTATACATATAATATAGACTATAACTGTTGTTGCGGTAACATAAATATCTAATATTATACGCTTTAGCAGAAATTACAATGTGTTTATTTACTGCTGACATCCTAATAGAAACTTATTTCCTAATGATTGTCTATTGATTGTTAAAGGAATGACAAGTGTGGTTGGTCTACATAAATCTTACTAAGACCTGTGTTCGTCATATTTTAAGAGTGCGGACAACTAAAGGACTTGACGAATATCGGATTCAATCGTATTAATTTCAAATGATTACCACATTTAACATTGCTAAGCTTTTGGTAATCATGGAAATCAAAAGAACTTTCGTTAACATTGGGGGCTGATCCCAGACTCACTTACATTTGCAAGAAATTATATCAGTATTATTTTTTAATTTCCTATGTAATCAACACACCTGGCTAGATAATACTGTAACACAATAATTTTGGGTTTTATGTGTCCGTCAGAGATTTTAATAACCAACAAAATCCGACTAAAACAAACTAAATCCGTTGCTCGAAATCGAACAATTGCTAATTATTACAGTATTTATTTTAACACGGAATGAATTAACAATAAATAGCTCTCTAAATTATGTTATGTTAAATTATCAGATTCGACTTATTAAATGTACCGGCACCTATCTTTTGGAAGTACTTGTTCTGTTAATAAAAGCTCTCTCACAATATTTAGGTTTATTTAAGTATATTATAACTTTTCGGGATGTGACCTTTATTAGTGTTTTACAAAAATAGTTCAAGCTCTCCAATGGAATTTCCCTGACTTGCAACCGCATAAAAATGTGAAAATGCAGTAAAGGTAATAATAAACCCTAGCTAAGAGCTAGCTCTGAGCTTTAGTGCCATAGCTATAGCTGAAATTACCAAAAATTTTGTTCATTGAATTAAGAATGTCAGTACTTTGGCTTCAAATTTGCTTTGGGTATCATAGTTCGTTGCTTAGGTTTACTTGGAAAACCAGTCAAAACCTTACAGTCTCTAAAGCTTACGCAAATATTTCACATGTAACTACGTTCCATTTATCGATAAATTTGATAGTATGTTTAAAACACGATCCTTGATGTTTTGTAATAGCCAATGCGGTGACAGTTTACTTAGACAAGAGACAATATACAGTATTGGTACAAACTATTTAATATTCTGTCGGGCATCGATGTTTTCCTGTTTACCGTATGGATATTCAATCTAAACTTTCTCAAGTCCTGGGATCATAGATACTACACTATTGTTCAATTATAAGCAATCTTCGTCCTGCACTGTGTTAATGAGTCGATCAATATCTAAACCATGAATAATTATTTAGTTTTTTTTTTATTCCCATACTTAAAATAAACATTAGATCCTCTACCTACTTTTTCAGTAGGTATCTGTATAATATCAGGGCCTAAATAAGTTTTTGCTATCCCTACGCCATTTTATAAATTTACCAAATGAGAAAAAGAATTATTAACTCTCATTTTGCTGTTGTTTCACTGAATGCTATTTCCGTTTTATTTTAAAACTGAAAAAGTGTGTCTATAATTTGGTACAGTCTTGGGCAATGATTGTCTAGAATTACCAAACACTAATACAGGAATTCCACCAAACTCTTAGGGTCTTAATTGAAAGCCCTTTGAGCCCCCCCCCCCCCCCCCCATTGAGCTCATTTTGTGGTGAGCAAAGCTGAGTGATTTAAACAATGACACCAAAAACGTCAAAATCGATTAAAGACTCTAGGAGGAGTTCTGTTCACAAAATAACTCCTTCGAAATTAATGCTATAGGCCTATATAGATATTCGTTGAACATATTATGATGGACGAGTATGAAAACACAGAGTTCTATAGCTTCTTATTTCGTTAATTGACTTATTTTTTACTACTCTTGCTATTTCATAACATTCTAAAACTGCGATTTTGTCTTGAGTGAATAAGTTTTGTCGTAACTGTGTTCAAATATTCACATGAAAGTGTTTGTGATTCCTGAACTTAAAATTTAAGTGACGCTGTCACTAAACGAATTAGAAAGTGTACCTAAATAATTTGATCTAACCTTGAACTATTAGGTTAATCAAACTAAAACACACAAAAATATCTGTAACAATGATGTTGTCACTAAATCTTATTTAATTAATAAATTGGTTAAATTTATATGATTACAGAGAAAGAGGAAAGTAGGTAAATGAATCAAAGTTCAGTATTCACATTTTATAATAACAACTAACAAAATATTTACAGGTTGGCATTCAAAGTCGAGTAACAGTACAAGTAAAGTAAAGTACAAAGACTAATCACAATATGCAACTATTGAAACTTATAATGCGAGATATTCGTTCCTGGGTAGTACACAAGTACTTACAAGTATTAACAACTGAGAATGAGAGGTCGTGACTAGCAGCCTTAGCTACGCGGTAGCCTACAGTCAGTCCAGTCGCGTCAACAGCCAAACAAGAATAACGGTTAATCCAATAAATAACATTAAATAAAAAATAAATTAAAGAGCCCTTACGATAAGAGTGGCCGCAGTGAAGTGGTTGAGGTAAGTGAAGTGAAGTGAGGTGAAGTAAAGTAAGATGAGAGGAGTAGTTGTTGTTACGGCTCGAGGTTTGTGGCTGTAAGTGGTGTTTATCTTTGGTTCGCTATCCAGTGAGTGTTATCGGTAGTTTCAGTCTATTGTGTGATGGTTGTAGGGTTTGTTGTCGAGTATTTCAAGTGACGTAACGTACAATTCCGTGAAAGTGAATGGTTGGTATGTATGGTACTATTACGAGGTGATGTTCCTAACACTAATTGTCTTGTGCCTCACTCTCTCGCTTCTCGACAGAAACAGAGAGGTGGGTAAGGGTGATGTTCGTGTTGAGTAGCTTTGGTTCTGGTGGCGGCCACACGACTTACTCTATTTGTACATAAGATAGAAGGGAGATGGATAGACTCTACTCTTGTTTGGAAGGTTCCTTGTAGGCTCGGTAGGCCAGGTCGTGGGCGTCGTTGGCCGAGCGTCCCCAGCCGTGGCCGTGCTCTTCCGTGTAGTGAGGGTGAGCTACTACCTCGTAGCTCTGTGTGGACTGCTTCTGGCCGAGCAGCTTCTGCAGACCGATCAGACCGGCCAACACGAGTGCCAGCTTGCCGACGATGAGAGCCTTGAGGGCCAGCAGTGCGAGGGCTCCCAGAGCCAAGGGGATGAGGGCGGCGGCCTTCAGCTTCAGCAGCAACAAGAGGGGAAGGAGGATCTTGGCCGCCTTCTTCTTCTTGCCACGAGCTGCAATACAATTACGGAAATCGTTAGTTAAGCAATCGCCATGCCCTTTATCTACAGGGTTGAAAATACGATTTATTTGGAAACCAATTATATCCGTCTCCAAATATGTAAACCATCCCTTAAAAGCCTACATTTGTCTAGTTAGCCCTCCTCCATAAATCCTTGCTTAAAATATGTTAAGGACATTCATATTATCCCTCCAACATAGTTAAATGATGATCTTTGTTTGTAGTTTATACTTCTAGGTTTCAATTCTCATGTCATGATTAATCCAGGTCGATGATCTGTCTACATGACATGTGAGATGTATGAGTGCGTGTGTGTGTGTGAGGATGTGTGACAGTGACCGGTCGCCGACCTGCCCTTGACCGGCTACAGCACAGACCGCAACAGTTAATTGCTACCGGTCGACATATCACCGCGTTACGGTCTAACGTATGTGGAGGCCGACCACCTGTACTACAGCCGACACGGCGACTCTACTGGACTGATAGCATACTTATTCCAGACATTAGAATTCAAACCGAGATCTGATTAACCAGAGACAACTAACATACAAAACTGTACAGCAGCCAAATTGGCCAAGTAAAAATATTTTATAGGAAACGTGTTACTTTGACTTCTCATGAGAAAGAAACTGTTTAAATTTGGAATCTACTAAACTCCATTGATCTAAACCATTCTCTTCACACTGTTCTTTATAAAAAAAATACGCTTTTCCCAAAGGTATTTTAGACGTACTTTTTGTTCCTGATAGTAATGCAATATTATGTGCAAGTGTTAAACTTTGTAGGTTTCTGTTCTTTTGTAGTCCATAAACTTCTTATACTATTTGTTTCATTTTTTTAATCAATGAAAATAGTTTGTTTTTTTAATTTGAGCACTCTTTTGAAATACAAGTCCTGATACCTTTGAAGTAAATCAGCTTTGAGTCAATTGTAATGACAAGTAAATTCAATTTGCCATACTGATAACAAGGTATAATAAATCAATGTTTAATATTGGAAAGTTTATATTTACTTATGGTAAAAGATATTGTAATTAAATTCACGGAATACCTCGGAAATCCTAAGAGATAATTTAATCACAGCAATCCATTTAATTTAGCTTATAAATCATCAATGGTTTTAAATAGTAGGACCAATAACTGGTGTATAATTTTTGGCATAGTTTTTTTTTTTATATTTCCATAATAAATCAAATTTAAAGTTTAAAAAATTATAAATGTCTAAACTAAGTTGTAAGAGCGATCAATATTGTTTAGCCAATTGTATTGATAACATAGTTTACTAACCTTCATCAAGGGATTTCCTGACGTCGGAGATGGTAGAGTCAGGGACCTTGAGCTGCAGAGTGTGAGACTCCAGGAACCTGGCTACACGGTCCACCAGTAGGGTCTCCACTTGGGCGTCGCGCTGCTCAGCGTCGGCGGGCAGAGAAGCGTCCAGCTCGGCCTCGGACAGAGCGCGGCCGTTCAAGTCCCGTGAGCTGTCTCCAGAGGTGTGCACCAGCTTGACACCGTCCACCAGGGAGATGTCGTCAGGACGCCTCAAGGCGCGGTCCACGAACGTCAACGCTCTCATCTTGATGCACAAAGACATGTCCTTCTCACCGCACCCCTGTAGGAACCGATATACCCTATCCACTCCATCGGTCCACGTGTCGGCTTCTCCCCCGGTCACGGTCTCCGGCGCTGCCGGGTAACCCGCAGCCACCGCTATACCGCACAACACCGCTATAACCACAAACCCCGGACGCACCATCCTCGAACACCGTTTTGCTCTGACTGTTACCACTCTTACCAGCTCCCACCTTTTATTTCCTCCGAAATACCTATGGCGATTGATTATTCTTTACCGGAGAAACTAGTATATGTGTCAGGGAGTGCGTGTGTGTGGAGGGGAGAGGGGTGTGGGGCTGGGCCTGTCCTTGGCCTTGATCGTACATCCTTCCTCCTCCTGGCGCAGGATCCCGCCCAGTGAAACCTCACGCTGCCCGCCACGCCGCGCCGCCGCGGCCGCCACCATGTCTTCGGGTGACATCATGTCAGACAGGTAAGCTTCATCACATCATTTGACATGTTACTTACTGAATACCTTAGACATTTTTTACATTAAAAATAGTGTAAAGAGTGGAATCTCGCGATCAACTTGAATGTCTATAATATAGTACATTTTATTCTATGCGGAAAAAAACTTAATACCAATTGTGTATATTTAACCAAACACGACTCGCAGAAATAACTTTCAGGCTTATACGAATGTGTTAAGATTTAAAATTATTTTTATAATCTGAATATGAAAACATAAAAGTTTCGGAGAAAAAAAATATAACAAATACAAAGCATTGATTTAATAAAGTATATTACCATAATATCTTTCAATTTTTAGAATGGTAATTGTACCAGAAATTTATATTTGCGATGTTCAAATAAGTACAAAAAAGTATCAAAGGAATGTAAATACTCATTTCAGACACGATGGTTAATTTTTCAGCAATTGTCCTAATAAATATTTGGTTCTGCATTGAAAACCTGTTAGGTACTTTTATTGGAATTGTAAAATAAAACGATTTAAAAATATTTCTATTACAATTATTTAGTTTTTTTATGTTTGTATGGACATTATATTTGAAATATATTTTTTTTTATTATAGTAGTTTGATTATTAAATAATTGTTAGAATATCAAGAGTTCCTGCAATTTAAACTACAGGGTTATTCTAAATGATGGACCCATTTTTAATGCTTTATAATTTTTATACTATTAAACTTACTGCTACAAAATACACATCAAACGAAAAAGCAGCTCAAAGAGTTTATGCCTTCCAAAGACACATCATTTAACAATATCGATCCAACAGAACTGTAGATTTAATTGTACGAAGTTAAAAAGTAATCTCCAACTTTTTTACCACTAAAAATTTGGAGGTTACTTGACGTTTTTGCAAATAACTTTTAAATGGTGAGGAAATCGACCAAAGTGGAAGGTAATATTCCGAAAGAGAATAAAATTTCCTACAATCTACTATTACGCATATCTTGAAAATACTCAATAAATGTAGCTTAAATTTGGCTTAAAATAATAATAATTACTGTATTCATCATGTTGGCATAATCTTGATTGGTAAAGGGCTCCATATTTTAATAAATGTTGAAAAACTCTTAATTGACTTGGAAAGTTAAAACAGCAAATTACTCAACAAGGTGATGTTCAAGCAGCTGAGTTATCTAGCTATAGATGACAAATCAATAAAAGCTGACTTAATCAAGCACAAGGTAAAACTAATTACTCAGCATTTAAGAATCAAACATACTACATCTTTGAAAATGTGAAAAACCTTGAGTTTATAAATTTCATTATATCAGATAATTTTAATAAATATTTAAAAGTTAAAATAATGTACAAATTTTATCAGATAGTTCAATAAAATACATCATGGAGTATACTGTACAGTAATTATTATTAACAGTAAAACTGTGAAAAAACAAAATCTGTAATCCGTGTTTTATTGTAGTTTATTAGTAATTTCTCACTGATTTATATCAATAATAGTATTGAATAGCATATCATCATTTGAAAGATTATTAAAATGCCAAGTTTTTTATGCATTTCAACATTGCATAAATGGAGGTTTATGTATCAAAGGAGGCACATGAAAATTATCGTAATTAATTAATTTAATGACATTTTTACTTTATTTTGGTTATAACGTGGACCATGTAATGGTATAATTGTTGAATGAAACCTTTGATTTATAGCAAATTTAATGTTCTTTCCAATGATTTTAACTATAACTCTCTAAAGTAATTGGTTAAGTTTTTATTACATAAATTGTGGAGCAAAGTCTAATAAAATAAGAAAAACACAAAATCCCCCAAAACAGCCAAACGGTCGAAAATCGGACATGGGTTTATAGGAACTTTTTTGTTCCTTTTAGTGAGTAGAACCCACTGGCGAAGTTAACACGGTCAGTAGAAACTCACCCTGTATATGTGAACGTTTATGTGGTTGTTTGAAGAAATCTTGGCATCAGGTTGACTAAACAAGTCATATGATAACATTAATAGCATTTAAAAAATTGCAAGGTTTACCAACAGGGTACAGCCTTAAAATTGTTTTTTTTTTTTTTTTTAGAACAATAGCTAATTTTAAATATGCCACAACAAAAAGCTGTGATATAAAATGAGAACTCTCAAAGAAGGATTGTTTACAGTTATGTTTATGTTTTTAATATAATAAATAGTTTGTGATATTGTGCGAATTGGGCAGTTTTATTTTTTAAGTGCATAATTCATCAACTTGTATAGCTTTCTGTTTTTCAAAATTTCATAATAATGTGTTTTATGTTTTTTATCCCCAAAAATTATGTCTGGGAAACGGAGTGCCCTGTAAATACTTTTATTGGATTACTGATCAAGTCAACTGCTCGGATGGAAGGGACTAATATTATAGATGTGATAGTTTAGACTGTTTAGAGTATGCCAATAACGTGAAAACTACTTGACTAATTGAGCTGATTTTCCCTCTGAATAGAATTAAAATACTCCAGCCTTAAAATGACCATTGTCATTTATTCGTTTTAATACTCTTTAAGAGCTTTGCCCTGGTGACTTGCAAAGTTTCCAGTTAATACAGTTAATATTAGAATTGACAAATTTATATAAACCACGTGTTTGAAAATGATTTTTTCGTGCCCTATCAAAATTGTGGACATTGTCTATTTATGAGTTAATTACTTTTCATACAGCAGATCTATAGAACATTATTATTATTCTCTTAAGCGTTCCCTTCTCATGGTTAAGCACGGGTATGGCAGCTAGGGATTTAATAAGTTAAGAAAGTAATTTTAAAGGAAGCTAATCGGTAAAAAATTTCAATATGCTGCCAAAGTGTTTGAAAAACTTAATGAAGCTCAGATTTTCTCACAATTAAAAATCAACCTACCTTATAAATGGAGTAATGTTTAAAACTCTTTGAGCATAATTTACCTTTAGCAAATCATTGATTCGTTACAGAATTAGACACCATCGTAGAAGGACTCTACTTCTTCGTCTTTACAACTTTGGATGGACTTAAAATACAAGATGAAAAAGTGCTTAACTGAAATAGTAAAACTAGAAGTTTACTTCCTAGAAGAGAAAGGGCAAAGATGGTGTCGAAGGATATGCCTTATGCCAGAGCGTCCCAAAGGTTAGACTGTTTAAAATACTGTTTTAAATTTAAGGACGGTCCTTAGAATAAAATGTTGATTGCATTTCTTATCATACCAACCATTATACCAAGGTATAAGTTTGCATTGCAATATATTACACAGGGATAAAAAAGAGGATACAAAAAAGTAAAAAACATGTTGCTTAAGTTATTACCTTCTCTGTAGCAGCAAACCTAAGTACTCATTAAAATTAATAATGCTATTGAAAAAGAAAATACGCCTGACAATTTTAAGGGAATATGTTAGTGGAAATCTAGCCAGGTAAATGGAAATTCGCTTACTCTGCAGGTTACCTGTGCTGGAAGTATTTTTAAATTCCGTATTTCCTTTAAATCGTCAAATTTACTCATGGCTAGAACGACCTTAGAGTGTTCATACGTACGGTTAGAACTTTTTCTTTTCCCTGAAAGAGTTTTATGGTAACTGTTTTACCATTTCTTCACTATAGTATACAATATTTTATATATTAGATTCGGGATATTTTGCTAAATATAAAACAACAAAACTCCCTTAAGGCAACCCTGCACTTACATTAATCATTCTATAAATTATAGTCATTAATATGCCCAATATTATTTGTGAGTTACAGTACAGATTGTATGGATTGTATGTTTATAGATCAATAAGTAATAATTGTTTACACCAAACATACTTTTTATCGTATCGATTCTAGTTGGTTGATTTGTTCGATTTGTTTAAACGAACCTGCACATCGTCTAGTTTTCCTGGCCCCCCGTGCCCCATTACCTTCGAAGTCATGTTCACTCGCTCGGCCAGACTTTCTACGTCATATTGCAGGGGAGTGATTCCTCCAGATTTCGTAGGAATGCAGCATATTCACACTAATTACAGATTCAACTCTCGCTCAGAGATAGCGTGGTCGGCTTGGCAGCGTCGCGCAAATCTTTCTGCGAATTCTGAACAACGCTGGCCTGAAATATGGCGAACCGTTACCCTCTGTTAATTGGTCCACGGCAAACTAGATTCCTAAAACAGTTCGGTGACCTCAAAATTGCCAAAGCTCAATTTCCTCACGTGTAACACTTTCGGAAGTGCCGTTACATATCAAAAAGCAATTATGAGAGAAACAAGTAATATGTTCAGAATTGTATCACTCTAGTAAAGGAAGTTTCCTTTATTCCAATTGGTTTCTTTTCTAAAAATAAATTGTTCTTTACAACTTTTCAAATACTTTAAAACCAATTCATCTGCCCAAACGCTAAAGGTTTTTTTTTATTATTATTGTCTGCTGCTCTTTAAGGGATCATGTATTTTTCGTTTAGTCGTCAGTGATTCTCTAAAACATAATTGAATTCATTTGTTAATTTTAAAAGTATGATAGCCCACATGTTAGTGTAACAAATTATGGTGTCATCTGGATAATAGATGTCATTTAAATAGTTTTTATTTTTTGGTAAATTGGGTTTGTTATTGTGATTTTCACAAAACACGAATTTTGTCAAATCAGCTCGAATGATTAAGAAAAAGTTTGTAGTTTGTAGTCCTTTTAACTCCCAATGCTGAAAAATTGCTGTTCAAAAGTTACTGTTGATTTTTCCTTTAAAATATCATAGTTACTCCTCCCATCGCTTACCCACGATAAGCGTTGTTGACCAGATAAAGGGAGAAAGTATGTGTCATATTGCTTATACTGTTTATTTCTAATGGTTAAAAATTCTGATCAAATGAATTCATTCAACGGTATTGCTTTTTGCCTTTTTGTGCTGGTTGTGTTCTATCATTTGAACCTAATAATCTAATTATTTTTTTCAAATTTTCTTACTAATTTCCGTATACTGAATTTTAAATGCATTATTTAATTAACGTTGGTACATAAGAAATTACAATTATGTACATACACATTTTAAATAATTTATTCCTAAAAATAAAGTTATTTCTAGTAGGTCTGTGGAGATAAATTGTATGTCTTTTAGTTATAAAATATGTTTTGTCTTATTTCAGTTGCTGCGATTTGCAGTGAAGGACTTTATATGGCTATAGACAGTGTTCAAAACCATCGTGAATAGAAGATATGGATACGGATGTGTTTCTAAAACAGGTAAATTATCATAGTTGGCATCTTCTAATAAGCTTATAAAACCTTTTAAGTCACAAATTATGATATTACGTATTTAAGTGTGATAAAATTATTGATATTAATTTTTTTTCGTATTTTTGCAAAATAATCATGATGCATGCCAAATCACAAGTAGGGTCGGTTGCAGAATGTTCAAGTTTAGAAAGTACGCACATGCTTTACTGAATTATGTAGATGATAGGTGGGGCCTTATGCTAATCTGCGGCGATTCATCTTCCCAGTCTCCTTCCACCGATCTTCCAAGAGATCATAAAAGCCCAGACCGTTAGTCGGTAACTTCAAACGTAACATACTTAACTGAGCCGATGCAACAACAGCTGATTAGTAAAGCAGTTAGTCTGTCTCATATCTTACAGTTTGTTTATCACGCATTTGTTCATATTTTTTTAGGCTACATCTTCTATATATAAAACCCAAAGTACCCATGAACGTTTGAGAAAACTACAAGTCACACCCCCATAAACCATATACTTAAAATGTTCGTCATGACGAGAAACCTTGCGCAAAACTATCCATTATTTCATAAATTGCCAAACTGCCATTTAAGGTCGTAATTCCTTTCTAAAGAGAATTTTCCATGTACCTAATGTTAAAAATACCTCAGCAGTACTTATTTGTTTGTATTACTGTATTCTGTTTTGTTTATTTCAGCTTAACAATGAATCATTTCATTAATACTTATGAAGTCAAACAGGGTGAAGCCAGTAGTGGGTAACAGCTAGTTTGCTTAATGAAAGAACTATTTGAACATTTTTTTAGTGTAGCCTATATTTTACTTCTTAATTTTTTTTGTAAATGCGAAATAGTTTTTAAAATGTAATTTGATTACATTTTAGTGGATAAAGAAGTAATGCTCTTGTTTCATAAAAATGGAGTAGGCCTACTAAGAAATACTCCTCTAAAATGTATAGTGTATAAATGGGCTCAGTGGTTTGGAAAAATTACAGATTATTCAAGATTTAAATCAACTATATGTTTGAAATATAATATAAAGCTAACAACAAAGAAAGCACTTTATGCTAAGTGGTATCATGCTACACTAAATCGTCTGGGTGGATTCAATTCCTTTATGATGATGAGTATACATTTAGTTTTAAATGTATGGCTTGGTATGAACCGTAGATAACGAATTATAAATGTGCTGGTATGCCACTTGGATTTAAGGCCACAGATCAAGAGTCGGTTGTCAAATATTCGTGCGAGTAATAACATAAGGTTATTACTACCCAAGCCATTGTTTTTTTTCTAGAATCCAACATATGCATTTCAAATATAAGCTTTATTAAAAAAAATAACCTGTTCAAACTTATTTCAAATATATCAAAGCCAATACAATTCATGTTAGGAACTACATTTTCCCATAAAATATTTCATCCGTAAGAATGAGTATATGAAATTAACTAGATATGGGTTGCTAAAATACTTAAGGCTATCTTAAGTTTAGACTCATGTGTACTCGTCCTCGTCATACTCAATGATAAATTGATAACCAAAGTAGCAAGAGAGCTCCAATCTGGACTCCACGTTAGTGATGAGATTACCTATCCTGCCTTGTTGAAACAAATTAATGTTAGTCCTGCTTGGATCAGGTAAATCTCCCAGTAAGTGCAGTGCGATATAACGTTTACCACTGTCCGTCACTCGCATACACTACCTCCTATGTCCTATCATAACAGCCAGTTACAATGTATTGATAATCCATTTAATTAATAGGTTTGATTATCGCCGGTACGTGAATTTTCATAAGGATTTTTAAGACATTGAAAGATTAAATTTTACTATAAATGAATTACATTCATATTTTCTACAGCAATTAACATTATCAAGTTAAAAGTTTCCTATTTTAATACTAACCCATCCTAATAATATAATATAATTTCAACGATGTACTAATTACATTCTAGTTTTTCTTTTAGAAATCCTGATGCGAAGGATTCATACGTAGGATCAACAACAAGACTCGCTCTCTGAAGAATCAAGACAAAACGAATGTATTGTAGATGAGATGTAAGCTATCTTGACATAGATGTAATAAACAGTTTTATTTATAACAATTTGTGTTTTCTTTGCTATCATTCAACCGAATATGTACTCATGAGTGTTTGAGGAATATTAGGGTTACATAGCTATAACCGCTCTTCAGACACATAATAGTGCTTTGTACTTTTATGAATTGATTAATTAAACTAAAAACAATATTGGAAAAACAGATTAACAAATTAAATTTTTTATCATACTAAAAGTGTAGTTTTCAAATTATGTAAGAAAAAAATAACAATATCAGTTTTCCAACCAACAACATTCAAGCGAGTTTGTCATTTTCAATCTATATGTATTTCTTTGTCACGTTGTTATGAATAAACTTTTCCTTTTAATTGAATACAGTTTGTATTAACCACCAATATAACAAAAAGATATGTTTGTTTAGTTGTAGCAAGTTATACTAAGATCGTCTGTGTAGATTCAAATACACAAAATCTTACTTCACGAAATCCTCCTTAATATGCTATGAAAACATGCGCCACTTTTTCTTAATTTTCCCTATTCCCCATTTTCGTTGTTCTACATATATACATGGTTGTAGCCTATGTATATTAATGGATGGAGTGTTTCATCCCTGAGAAACTTGTTCTCATCCAAAAAAGCCATAATTTTTTCTAGATAGTGGATCTACAGCTTGATGTACATCCAATAAATTATTGGACACATTTTAAGATCATATAAACAAATAACCAAGCAACTTAGAAACATGGGAATTGTTTCATTGAATAGCAAATTTATAACAGTTTTATACAGTAACTGCAGAAAAATCATTATAAAAATGTCACTAATTATAAATACTCGCACCGCAGCAAACCTGCCGTCTAAGCGAATTTCCATTTTGCTGAGTTGATCTATTTAAATTACATTGGGTTCAACGAGTACCTAGGTTTGCTGCTTCAAGGAAACTAATAAAGTGTGTTTTAGGTAAAATAATTGTAGCTTAGTATAAAATCAATATTTTTGCCAAGTTTGATCGAAATATATCCATAAACAAGCAAACTACAACATTTTACAATATTCTCCATAGGAATTCAAATTCAAATTCAAATATATTTATTTGTGATAATACAAAATCTTGGCCTCGCCAAGTTTGCAAAACTCCAATTGATTCACAAAAATTTAACAAACAAAATTTACATTTTTTTTTGTTTTTGTTTTTAACAAATATAAATATTTCTAGCGCTACTAATTCCATTGCGGTATTAACCACCCGGAATAACATGGAAATTTTAAATTTACATTTTTTTAAGTTTTCTCCGTAACCAATAAAAGTACAAAAACACGTTGATATGCTCAATTGTTTGTTTTTTAAGCTATTAAAGAATATTTGGGAAATTTTATGTTTTGAGGGTCAAAAATGAGAAAAACCAAATTTAACCCATAAAACCCCGATCCCATGGTCCGATCATGCTAGATCGCGAACTCTTTCAGGTTTATCCCGCCTTACACCTTCAAACTAAATTTTATCAAAATCGGATGAAAACTACCGTACTCAAGCTATCGTGTTCACGGACTCACTCACATATACATATACATATATACACATATAAAAATTTTAACGAATTGTGTTTTTGGTCTCTGGTGACATCAAAATGAAAAGTTAATCGGTCCCGGGACTAGGTCTTACCGTGCCACCTACGGTAATTGCTACTTCCTATAAGGAAATTCCCTAAAAGGGGCTATAATGTGTACAATTGTGTAAAAATCACCCAAACTGTGAGCGTAAGTTATGTTTTTATTTCAACAATGGATCTGTGTAGAACATTTGTCGAATCAAACCTTAAACTGACTTAAGTAACAAAATTACTAGTGTGCAATAAAAAGCAAAGTCTTTGGTTTTATGAAAGCATATCTGTAATAACTGTGCAATGAAGGCTTTGTTTAGAGTACGGCCGTATTCTCTGAAGAAACATAACTTACAATAACAGTTCAGGTGATTTTACAGTCTTTTTAAAACGAATTTTCATAATTGCTGACAAATATAATCAATTTTTTGCAGTTACCGTATACAACTGTTTTGAATTTGCTATTTAATAAAACAATTCTCATGTTTTTAAGTTGCTTGGTTATTTATTTATGTAATCTTAAAATTTGTACAATAATCTATGACCACTCTGTAGATGAATAATTATAGTTTTAATTAGATTATAACAATTATAATTACTCTTGAGCTCCTCGAGAGTCTTTATTTTATGAGTGATTAAATTGGTTGATGAAGAATGTATCAAGCATACTGTTAAGAAGATAAAGAAATTATTTAGTGGAGCGACAGGTAGGTGGGGTATCATCTAGTAGGTTTGTAGGTACTGTACAGACTCGGCGTGACCACAAGCAGTAGAATGAGGAAAATAGTGCGGTAGCCATGAAGCTGTATTGACCTTAGACCGCAACAAGATAACAGGATGAGATACAGTATCTCCGTGAGCAGCTGAGATAGAGATACAATCTCTAGTGAGATGAGTGAGGTAGCCACTGGAGGTAATGATAGACTAGGGATATTGCCTTAACCGTGCGGTCCACCGTCCTCTGTCCTCAGTGCGATATCACTGACCGAGTGGCGTGTTGGTTGTCATACAGAATAGCCTACACTGTTGGAAATAACATATCAACTGTAAAATAATTTTACCTACTACCGTTAAAGTAGCCGTTTCAGTTCAGTTCTTAGAATAGATGATTTTCCTACAACAGCATTGTTTCCTTTCATAACAGCATAGTTTTACTCATAACAACACAAGTAACGGACCAATGAGGTTCAAGGATTGAGAGAGAATAAGTACAGTTGTAATTATTTGAACTTCAACTAATCAGCTGTTTAGGTTAATTTAATTGTTGGGAGGTATAATTAATGTTTGGTACAATGTTTCGTTGCATCACTGTCAGTGGCAATGAGAGGTTATAAACGAAAACTTAACCTCTCTTAGAAATTATGAATAGTGATTTTTAGTAATGAAAACACTGTTGAAGGTAAAATAGTGTTAACAACATTCGTAGAAGTTTTTAAGGCACTCGCCAAGGCTTGTACCTACAGGTATAATTTTGTACTCGTGTCGTTAACACTATCTTTACGCAATCGTTGCTTAAACTACTATTAACTGGATTGAAGTTGCTTGTGCATATTGAATCCAAGCAAAGGTCTTATATTTGAGAACTGTAATACTGTATGTGGTAGCACTATCTTTAACTTTAAATATCTTGAGTTATACATTTATGAAGAGAGTTCGTATGAAAACCCTGCTTTATTTTATCACAGCAAATTTTTAACCTTGTATAGTAAATGGTAAATTAATAATAAAGGTCTAGAAAAATATGCGAAAACTTGTCTTTATTTTTTTGCGAATTTTCCTATGGGGAATTAGTTATCAAATTAGATGACACGGAAAGACATAGACACGTGACCGATTTACTTTTTCATTTTGATGTCCCCAGAGGAAAAATACACTATTCTATATTCTATCCTATAATAAGTGTACCCCCCCCCCCCCCTTGATTGAGTTCGTGCACCAGCAATATAGGATGATGGAAAGAAAGTATTATGGGATTTTAATGATTTTTTTATCAAGGTTTTTACAAGTTTACTCTTACAACATGGAAATGTCCAATTTTCATTGCAGCCAACATGTACAGCGCTAAATATACATATGAATTGCATATATTGCATTTATATATTGCATTTTTGTATTCTTTGCATTTCTGTACAAAACTAAATACAAAGTAAGTTCCAAAAATCTTTACATTTTAAATGCTTATGTTATTCTGATAGAGGAAATGGGAAATGTTGTATTTTAAATGTTTATGTATACATTTTGATCACATTTGATCAAATTTACTTATTTCATTCCATACTATTGGCATTTTATCGATAAAACACTGTTGCCTTCCCGTAGGAACAACCCAAAGCACTCGTCAAAGCTAATGTTATTTTAAAATATGCCTTGTTTAGTGAAATATGTTTGTAAAAATCTTATCAGGCAAATTTAGGTTATTTAATATTACTGTAATATTATTTGTGACTGGTATCATACAATCATCAAATGTTTAAACTATATGCAAATTAAAGAATTCCTTGTCCAACATTCAAACTCCATTTGTTTTGCAATCTTGGAGTAATGATGACCACAAGCAGTTGTAAATTATTTGCTTCCGATTACAGTCCTATCACCCAAACCCCATTGTGAGTATGAAGAGTGAGCAGTAATGAGTTTAAGAATAAGGGTCTGTTATAACTGCTGATGTTTTCCCAGCCTAACCAGTAACCAACCCAATCTCTCCGACAATAGCCAAGTGTGGTTTATGCGTGACGTCTGCTGCTTTGGAACCAGTCATTGTGAGCCGCGAAATGCGTGAATTGCATAGTTAAACCACGCCGTGAAATGTAGGACCGCTTGAAATTCCTCATCTGAATCATAGTTTAGGTTTCTTTTGACTTGTTAGGAACGGGAATCGGTGACATGACATTAATAATTTTTTAGTCATTTTAGCGAATTTCCCATATAGGGAATAAGCTATTATCGTAGGTCTCGTGGTAAGACTGGACCCGGGACCGATTTTGATGAAATTAAAAAAAAACTGTAAATCTACATTTATTTGAACTAGTTTCAGAACCTGTCTGATCGGAGTATGAGAACGGGGTTTATGGTGAATTTAATGTGGTAAAACTGGGATTTCCCCAATTTTCACCATAAAAACATAAACTTTTGCAGTTTCTTTCCAAACCATTCTTTCCACCAGAACTTTAAAAATTCATTAATATATTAGTAATTATAAATACTGTAATCTATATAATTAATACGCTACATAAAACTTTGTCGGTTCAACTCCTTCGCCATTTCTAAACCGATTTTATCCATTGACGTCTCATTGGAAAGAGCGTGTCGCGTACATTTGCAAACTGGCCTTACATTTTTGCAAAAGTCCCTTGGGCTCTGCCCCAGTGGCTTTGAAAGTTCCCATGTTATTCTTATGAAGAACACAATTGTTTACATTTTGATCAGCTGTATAATTTAATTGCTGT